CAAGTTATAATAATAGTGGAGGTTAGTGGAGTCCATCCCAAATAATTAAGCCAGCTTTCAAATAGTCTGAATCATTTGAAATTCAATTATTTAAGGGATGAGCATGTAACTAACTTAATAGAAAAGCTGATTTCAGATTGTATTGGTTTTGTTTGAAGTGCTTTGGTGTAGTTTGCAAGTAGGATATACTGACCCAAAATTAAATGCTCAGTCAATCAGCCCAAAAACCAATCCCACGAAAGGTAAATAAAAGTTATAGCCATCAAAAAGCAAGAAACATTGCATGTTGAAACACTCATCATCAAGCCTGAATGCATTATAATAGTGCTGGTCTGTGGAAGAATGCTTGGAGAAGTATTCTTCCTTTTGGATCCTTTAATGAGAGCATCCGCCACTCTTTGTCAATTTCATAAATAATTTCATTTGTAAGGCATTTTCTCACTTGTTCATGCCTCAAAGCAGCGTTTGCAATTTGGGTGTATGTCCCATGGCAAATCATGCTACCAAGAGGAACAAGATCCTTTGGCAAGCAGTATGTTTTGGTTTTTGACTTCCAGTTTACGGAGACGCTGACTGTTGTTTCATGGGAACCTGAAAGGTCTAAAGACCTTGCTGTTCTTGACTTTCCAGCCGGCATACTAGATTCACCCAATACAAACACTTTTGGTGCTGACAACAGGCTTTTTGGGGTGCTGGTGAATAATTTATTCCAAGCAGCTTCAATGAGCGATAAAGGCAAAGAGCTACTCTTTTCATCAACTTTTTGGTGGCCATCTTCATACCTTTTTTCTAGGTTCTCTGCAAGTTCTTGGGCCTCAGCTTTAGTAGAACGCCTTTGACGTAACAAGGGAAGACAATCTTGCAAGGTATCTGGATTCGAATTTTGCATAATTTATGATCTTTCCAAATGATAGATAAAGTATATCTTCAGTGTAATTATTTTTGCCACTTTTTTGTGGTCAATTCCAAGAGACAGATTGCACACAGTGGCTTAAATGCAGACGCCATGAATACTGTTTGTTTGATCACTGTTGTTGCTATGTATCCATAGAAATAGGAAAAGTGCTGAGTTGGCAGAACAAGAAAACACACTCAGTTCCACAGATTCTACTTTCCTCTCATTTTTCTCCTCTGCGAGTCTTACGCAGGCTGGGCTAGATGGAGCTTGCAAGTTGTACGCTCTGCAGGCCACCCAAGAAAGACCCTGCTTTGTTTTAGGCAATAATTTTTGGCAAATCAAAGGTTACACAAATTTTAAAGTTGTTTAGTCCCAGAAACCAACTGATATCAATAAAATTGTTATAGAACTTTTAAATTGAGGAACTTGGGAACACCCTAAATTTGGCAACCAAAAATAAAAATGCGTTAGATCAGCTGGCAAAGGTGTCAGGTGACGTTAATGCAAATTTTATATGTCATATAAAAAAAACCAAAAAAATCTATATATCAAAATTTATAAAATCCAAATGTAAAATATATATGTAGATTAATGATTCGTCATCGTTTGTTTATCAGGAAAACGAAGTGTACTTATTCTTCATACACAAAAAGCATGATTAACGCATATTACTCATACACATTTTCCTCAATAAAAAGGTATAATCTGAAAAAACAGCAGTTATGTTGGACCAGCGATTTTTAGACGAGCAAATTGTCAAAATGGCTGTTGAAAACTCAAATTCCTTATCGCCATCTTGAAGAAGTGGCAGCCATTGCTGGGCTGAATTCAGCAGCCATTTACAATGGTCACCACCGTCTTTCAAGAAAGAACAAAGAAAAATATTGAAGAAATTGCATGATAATCCTTAATCTAGAGAGCAATGTTTTGCTCTCTGAATACAAACTGTTTGTTTTACCTATTGTTGCTCTTTTCTTTACATGTATTTCTTTACTATATATATTAACTGTTCCGTTAATAACACCTCGTTTATAGGTTTTTTACCACAACCTGTTGGTTGCATTGTTATTTGCTTACAGTTTAGTTAACATCTAGTGATTTCTATTCCCAAGTTCTTGAACAGAAATGATGAAAACTTCAAAGATTCTGGACAGTTTTGTCTCCGTATTTATTTTTTATTGTCTTCCAGTCCAAGTCTTGATTGCCTCAGTTGACGAAATATAGCCTCCTTCAATAATGTTCTACCATTGAATAAAGGTCGTACAGATAAAGTGTGAACAGAACTGTTAAACAGAACAATGTTGAGCGGCGACAGTGTTAACAGTTGTGGACCGAAATGGCAGAGGCCAAATATAAGTCATCTTTTAGCTTTCAGTTTATACACTATCATACAAAACTGTATAAAGTTTCTAATAATGACTTTGAAGGAAGCATACATTATAAAACATACTAAAAGCTTTCTCGTCTAATACTCCTCAGAGCATAAAACGCCTGTATCTTTTCCGACTCCCAACTTAGACCAGTTGTAGATGGCACCCTTCACTGTCCAGATGACTGGTGCGTCAATTCTGCACCTGGAGGCCAGTTCAGACACGTTGCAATCAAACTAGCCACTGTTGGTGAAGCAATAAAAAAGAAACGTTCTTCAAAATGGGTTGCATTTGTGGTCGGTACGAACGATTTGGCCAAACACATGGTTTTGGATAGAGCCAAGGATAATTTCTGTCATTTGCTTGCAACAGTCACAAAGTTTTTCCTGACAGGTCTGTGACTAGTCTCAAATAACTGCCCGACTTGAGAATTTGCAAACATTATCAAACCATTTCATTGTAACAACATTGTTTTGGGTAATTTCCAAAAGTTTCGTTTAGGTACAATGAAGGAACGAATAGCGCCTTTGCAGAACTGTAAATTCGTTAGGGGTCTTAAATCTCAAGAAACAAGCAAATTTTCTGATATATGACATAATTTTCGAAAAATTTGTTTAAAGAATGACCCTAGCACAAGCTGGAAGGGGGGGGGAAGGTTCTCATGCCAAAATTGCAAAAATATCTATGTTCCTTTCTAGGGAGGCTGTAATATTATCATAATTACTATCATAACGTGATGACCAAGGGTATGCCCTGCATTCATTTGGAGGGAGCTGAAAAACCATAACCCTCTCGGTGAGTTTTTGGTGAAAGAAACTGTAAAGTACATGTACCTGAAAGATAGCAGCTTTTATCTGAATGAGATAAAAGTCAGTTGAAGAGTCAATGTGCGTTTCTTTGAGAGTGTTTTTTTAGCCTTGAATTTTGTAATGTCAGAAAGAGCCTTCATCATGACCTTCACCATGGTTTTAAAATGATAGTTTAGCTTGAAAATACCTGCATTTCTCAAGTCTACCCTCGTCATAAGTGTTTCCATTTTTTTACTATTAAATTGATAATTTTTTCCTTTTTTCTTCAGGCAAACAATTGGTCAAAGCTGGAGAGGAAGCTGATGACCTTGTAAGACTTGCTGATGCATCTTGGTGGGGAAGATTTTGCAAAGAAATGTCAGAAACTGTGAACGCAAAAGGCTTCTAGATTTTGTCATTAGCAGGCATGCTTGCAACAGCAGTTGTTGGCAATTTTTCACTCTACAGCATGGTAGTCACATTTGCGGGGTTTCAACAATTATTTTTTATCTGCTTGGCTGCTTAGATTAAGTATAGATTATCGTTATTTAAAAAATATATCTCGTTACAGCAATTTTCTTAGGCATACAATTGCCAAATGGTGCATGGATGGAGAGATAGATGTAGAATCTCTGAATACATAGACAAACTTATCTAGAGACTGGCAATGTAACCTGACAACAAAATTGACCTAATGAATCTCCACTTCCAATGTGTTTGAAGAAAGCAAAACTTTATTTGATTCCCCATCAATAGGAAGCAAACAAGAAAGTTGGAGCTATAGGATGGGTAGTTTTTCGGAAAAAGCTTGTTTGAAAAGTACTTCTGATCACTCAAGCATTTATAGTAGGAAAAGAAGCACCAGTAAGCCCAATTTTTATTGTGAGGGCTCTAAGCATTCCCGGTAAATTTTCATAAGAAGACAGGACAATAAAGGGGCAAGACCCAGAGATATGCGAGAGGGAGAGGAGAAAATGATTGTAAAAAGGAGTGGGGAAAAAACAAGAGTGATATTAAGGTTTTCTTAGACCGGTAAGAAACATTTATATTTGGTTGTAACCGAATTAGCAATACAGTTGTGAAGCAGAGATTGAACCGGCCTTGTTTTTTTGTGGATTTCTCCAAAAGGACTTCAAACATTGCTGCGTGTATGTCACAAGATTTTCAACTTATCATTATGATGGAAAAAAAGACTGTAACGAATACATTGGAAAAGACGTGGAAGAAGATTTAGAGCTTGCTTTCTCTAATCAATGATGATGAGCAAACTTTCTCCTAACAAAATGGCATGGATAAGGAAAACTCCATTAATCATCATTCCATTATCTCGAATCATATTAATCCTAACCTTATCTCCTTTATTTATATTTGTGAAGCCTTGTATATTTGTGGCAGAAACTTGCCAACAGACAGTTATCATTAAAGTATCAACTTTGTTGTTGATTTCAGAAATTGCTTGCACCAAAAGAGACAAAACTTTCATTATTGTTAGGCTCCGAGGAGTTGCTCTCCATAAGCAGAATTTCATTTATGACCTAATCAACAAATTAGTTGTTTCTGTAATACATGGAACCAAATTTTTGGAGGGCATTTGGATAATTAGCCCAGAACCTTCCCCCTTTTAAAAATAGCTGCCAAGTAAAAATTATACCATTTACCATCAGGAATAACTTCACAAGAGTGAGCTACCGCTTCTGCCAGCAATTTTCGGTTGGTACAACTTTCGCTTTTCTTTCCATTTCCACCACCGCAGACCACTTCTACAATAACATTTATCAAACCGGTACAAGAAAAAATAAATTTAAATTACGGAATTTCCTTGAAACTAAAAGTGCAAAGAATGTTTATTTGTTCAAATTTGCCTTGCTTGAAGCATCGTGGTAAAATAAAAAAATTAATGGCATTTCCATTTCTGTCATGCTTTTTGTTGCTGAATGCGCTCACAACTGGCTCTAATTCCCTCTAAAGAAGGTAGAAATGGAAGATGGTATTAGAACTACATCAAGCGATCAAGGGAATGTAAAACAAGGGATATTCAGTAGAAATGGAGCAATTGAAGCAGCTAAACTTAGCCATGAAATTGAAGATTTTGAAAAATTGAGTTATTTTTGGAACCTTAAATGACATTTACATACTCTCTGCCAAGCCCTTACTTAAAAAAATCAAGGTATGTCCCTCGGATGAATAGAAAATATTATATTACCCTGCCAAAGGACGTAATTACTTTCTATCTTGTTTGTTTGAAACCATAAAAAAGGACAAGCACAGCTTTTCAAAACTAAGAAAAATCAGTGTAATACCAACCTCAACCAGATCACACTTGGCCCTCTCACAAAATCTTGTGACTTTAGAAGATCTTGGATCCAGGTTGTTGTTAGAATAGTGTGCCCCAAGATCTCAGCGGGAGAATGCTTCAGGCTTGTCTACTACGGCGCCCTCGTCGGTCATGTTTGCCGTTCGTACATCATCACTGTGGATGCCTTATATGACGATAACCACAAGATCCATCAATCATATGCTCCACAAATAGGCATACGACAGCCCCTGAGCTTCACTCTCGCTCGAAACCAAGCCTGCGCTTGCTAATTTAATACAAGACTATCTACAAAATCAGCATGTTATAATGGCCAGCAACTACATTCCAAAAGACAAAGAAGACACACGTGATTCATCCATCACCAAGAAAGGTACTACATTTCTACTTTACAAATTACAAATTATCCACACCTTTAATGTTCGTTCTCCTCACATGGTTTAGCACTCTATGCCAGTATTTCATATGATACTCGTTACATATATAGCCAAAAATCATATTTATATCAATATATACCAGAATCCGCAAAGCATACACCTGTCTGTGCACATATATACATGTACATAATATAAAGCAAACGTAATGTACACATAGAAAAATGTGTATCTGCAGATCTTTGTATCTACATATCTATGACATTGGTTCATTGTGCAACCTATGAAAATCACACGACCCACCTTTAGGGTACAGGCACGACTACACAGGTTCGGTTGTCCAAAAAATTATTGAGAACAAAAAGTTTTGCATACATATCATCCAAATGGTGAAACCTCTATACAAATATTCATATGTGTGTATATATTTCTGTATATATAGAATAATATCACACAACATATCTCACAACATTGTTATACCTATACTTGCACAGATAACACAAAAGAACTTCTTGACATTGTGCTGGAAACCACCAGCAAAGATGAACTTATTGAATGTGGCCAACGCACACCCGAGAACACCAGGCACGGCCTCTCTGGTTACAAGATACCAAAGAAAAAGCAACCATCTTCTGCCCCTCTCAGAAAGAGGTCTGAAAAAACACAAACTCCCCCAGCCAGCATAATAGTGGGGCACACTAAGAGCAGTACGGCAAATTGACTGCTCTCATATCCAACAGCCTGGCGAGTAGCTTCTACCACCAGGACAAATCTGAAGAATTTCAGAGACACGCAGAGAAAGATCGATATCCTACTTTTCTCTACCCGGAAGTCAACGTCCGATACAGAAATGATTTCTTGTCGGATTTGCAAAAATAAGTGGCAGAGGCCTGTTGCACGTTTGCAAGGACCATGTGCAACATACTGGCCTCTCATCACGAATCAATGAGGTCATCGCAAGATGATCTCACACAAAACTATATAGACATGGCCAGGAAAAGATATCCCGGTGCTGGTATTGTATCGAGGGCAGAAACCCTGGCTATGGACAAACAGATAAAATACAAAGGAACCAGAGAGGGCCCAACAACAGGCAACAAGCAGAAAGGCGAACGGCGTTCAACAATTTTGAATATATAATTAAATAACAATATACATATAATTTTATTTTATTTTACAACTATACTATAAAACCTCATTTACATTGTCTTCTATTGTTCTCGCTGCATACAGGATCCGAGGGTACACGTAAATTCACAAATCAACATATCAAAACATGCCTTAGACAGATTTTAGGCCAAATAGGAAACATCGCGTGAAAGCGAAAACACAAAAATTTCGCATATTTATTATTCCATGACCTTGATTTTGTCCAAATATATCTCTTTGTTATATATCTGTTTTCTTGTTTTAAAGCCTGCCCCCCTCAGGTATTGTTTTTTGCTCGAGTTTGCACAGTCCCAATCATACAATGATCGCTTATAACAAATTCGAGGACAATAGTCTTGGTTATATTGTGTGGCATGTTGGTCAAAATGAGATGAACTAGATATGTGGTCTCCTTAGTAATTCTTGTAGGACACGTAACAATTTAGGGAAATCCAGAACATGAAATTATGTGATATGGTGGTGAAGAGCCCCAGAAGATAAAGGAGCCATAGAATACCGGAATCCCAGAATATAGCGGAATTTTTTTCTAAATTTTTTTATTATTTTGATCTTGGAATTGGTATAAATTATCAGTTGTACCATTAGTTTAATGTGTTGTCGTTATTTTCAAGAATAAAAATCTATCAAATCGCTTTTAGAATCAAAACTAGGATCGGAATGTCAACATGAAAAAAAACTTCATATGCAGTCGAAAATAAGTGGAAAACACTTAATCAACTGAGGATTGTACATAAAAGCAAAAGTTACTGTTCAAATAATACAAATCTGACTAAAATTCAGCAAGGAAAGAGGGCTTATCAATCTCCCTTACAATTAGAAAGATTTCCAAGAGACAAAGCACAACTGTGTGTCATAGATCTGAGGTAACTTTTAAAGGAGGGAGGAAACCGTCCGCACCTGCGACTCTTGGCAGCGAAAGTGGCCTATGGTAATGCTTGCTTGCAGCCTGCGTGCATATCTTTTTCCACTTTTGCAAGATTCCCAGTAATTTTGCGCATTAGTGCTTGTGATAAACACACCTGCGTAAATAAAATTGGCCCGAAGGGCCCTGGAATAGGCTTGCTGTTTTTCTTCAAACCTTCTATAAAATACTCTCTTGGAAATTGTTAAACTAGTAAAAATCTTCCGATTGGAAAAAACTTTCAGCGAAGGTGAATATATAATTATGCATACATAGATGTATAACTGAACTTTTTTGTTTTAAAATGTTACTAATTGAGGCACCTTGTTTACTCTTTCTGTTTCAATACGTTCTATTAGATGCCATATTAATTTAAATTAATGTCTTTTCAGAACGTACGAATGTGATAAAAAACCATTTTTGGTGCAGTATCTCTTTTATTTATTCACTATGTAGCTTTAAAAGTATTCAAATAATTGAAGCAAAATTGCTAATTTCTTATATGCAATTCAACTCTACACGTGCTTCTGTTCAGTAAACCCTTGCAAGGAAGAATAGACGTTTTAAGAGTCAGATAGCAATGAACAAAATTTCAAGGGTGTTGGTTTGGCAAAAGCACCCCAGATTTTTCTTAGTTCATTTAGAAAAAATTGAAAACTGTTTTTAGCGCTTTTGTCGTTAAAATTTTGTCGTATGACAGGAAATTTGCTTGTTTCTCAAGGATATCCCCCCCCACCCACCTGAAACATGAAGTCCCGCCTCTGTCAGATTGTATTGTGAATTGTGAATACACTAGGTATTTCATTGAAGAACGACAAAGAGTCTGTTCCTACTCAAATGGCTTCCAGGGGTTGCTGTATACTTTTATGCAGGTTATGTGGTGCTTCCGCTTTATATGATAATTTCAAAGGTGAATTTCTAGAAGAACAAATATCTATAAAGGATTAAATGTTCATACTTTGCGTCTAAAATAGGCTACATTAATAATGCTTTTACTTGGTACTTACACTTTTAAAATACTTACTTCTAATAACCTTTGTTTTAACAATCTGCTCTACGTTGTACTATATCCTCTTGCGGGATTTTATAGGACTGCAAATTAAATTAAATGTGACACGCTTCAAGGTTGGGGAACTGTTTTCATTTGAAATCAGCTCTTCGGTATCACTTTCCCCTGCAAAGTCCAAGCTATCTGCTTCGTCATTTATCTCAACATTACTTCCAACTTTCCTTTCCTGTTCCTCTCCAGAGCCATTAACGGCATTTTTCTTTGTTGAAAAGTGGTCATTACATGTAAAATCATGGCATACACCTGGTGATGATAAATCTACGTTTGCAAAGTTATCACAAACACCTGAAGATAGGGGCTCATCAGCTAAAATTTGGTTATATGTATGATCATCAGCATAACTTGCTGCCTCCACTTCGTCTCAGTCCCATTCAAATTCATTCTCCTCTTCCTCTGTCTTTTTAACATTGACCTGATGCATAGGATCTGTTTCATGAAATGTTGCTGCATTTCCTTCTGTTAATTTCTCATGACGACTGTTTGGAAAAAATTTAATACTAAAGACTGCCTTCCTATGGCATCAAAATTCACTTACAAACCAGTGTCATTTCCCCTTTAGAAAGTTTCCATTACCAACTTCGTTTTGCAGGTCGATAGCCTGCAAGTAAGCAATATCACATGCATTGTTATTATCCAGCCAAAGAAAAGAAAGAATTAATGACCCCGATGTAGCATTTTCAATATTTTCTTGCGTACTTCCAGCTACCCTCCCTTCAAATGGGGCGAAGAAATCATGGTGAAAGAGGTTGCCACGAGCAGCAACCATGTGTGCCATGTCACAAACTAAAACATTTGGTTACTAACACATTTCAGACTCCTTAAAGGTCATATGCAATCAAAGCATTTTTTTGTTGAAAATTAATAATTACGCTATGTAGATTTCAGATTTTCAAACAAAATTTTAAATTGATTTGAATAACCTGTTAAAATTAGCACCTGATTTCTGTTTTCCTTACAAATTTTGTTAAAAAGCCGCGCTAGCAAAAGGGCTTGGAAGTAGCGAAGGTGTGACATAAGATGAGTCACAAAATAGCCCCATGTGGATACGCGAACGTAAGATGATAACAGACTACTATACTTGAATTTGGGTCTTCGTCGTCGTCGAATATTGTTATCATAATGCCTATCATAATATCATAATGCCTAGAAGGTGCATTGTTTATGGTTGTGGAGAATCGGCTAGTGCAGCAAAAGGAGTATCGGTTCACATTATACCTTACTTCGGGGATAAGACGCCTATTGCAGTTAGTCGAAGGAAGAGATGGACTGATTTCGTCGAGAGAACATGGAAGAATTGGAAAGCGACGAAAACATCAGGGGTTTGCTCAAAACATTTTAAAACTGAAGACTTTGGGCAGCCCTACGTTTCGCAAGATGCTCTACCTGGCTTTGAAGGGTCATTTAGAAGATCTCTCTCTCAGGATGAATATGGAATTTGTTCATATCCAGCAATATATCCACCGACAATTGCTGAAGCCTCAACGTCGAAAAGTGTATCAACACATACTAGTAGGCTCATCGACAGGTTAGAAGCTTGTTTTCTTTTTCGCTTTACCGATACATTTGTTCTTCGTATGTTAGAAAGCTAATAGTGGAAAATGTATTTTTAACAAAAATCTTCTCGTCAACAGATCATTCGCGAAGCAATGCGTGATTGCAATGCACCGACAGCTTCCGAAGATGCACCTGAGACCGGGTCTAGGTCAAATACTTCCCGTGATCGGCAAGCCTTAGAAAGCAACGATAATGATTTCTTTGAACCTGTTTCTTGTGTGGAAGATGAACAGGTAAGCAATTCTTTCTTGGTAATCATTATTTCAATAAAGTGACTAATTGTTAGATGGGTACATTTTGTTGTTTCAAAGCGGTTTGCTGATTACAAAGTGATGGGCAAGTCTTTTGATAATTGATTACCCGGATTTTTTATAGATTTTACAACGGGTATTGCCTTTGCCTTGTAAAACTCATGAATATATATATTGATTTTTAATGTATGTTATTTGGCAGAGCATTAAGGGTGCAGAAGGGGGTTCATTTTTTGCAAGGGGGGACTAAAAGCAGTATTTTTCGTAAAAATTCCAACCAAGTAGGATTCTTTTTCTTATTTTTCAGACATATATAATACTGTAGGGGCCCCAACAAATGCAAACTTGCTGCGCATCATTATTATCATTTCTTTTTTTGCATTGATTATCATCAAATCTGTTGGTTCAATAATTTCTAGTGACATGTATTTCTCTTTTAGTTCCAAGAGACTTCAACAGAAAAAGACCCCTGTCTAGGCTGCAAAAGACTATCATCAGATAACCTGAGGCTGAAAAACCTTTGGTTGGGTGCAAAGCACAAATTAAAGTTAGAGAGAAATGAAAAATCAAGGCGAACCTCCTCGAAACAAACCACCACCCCTTGAATAAGCCCCCATGGGTACTGTAAAACCTCGAATTGGACCCCTCAATTTGATGATTTTCCCATCTGAGATTGCCTTTGGTGTTTTATTGGATTACCACAAAAATTGCTACTTTTAGTACTAATTAATTAAATGTGCATAAAGAAATTCCTACTAAAAATGAGGTCTTTCAATAATGTCTTCTTAATATCTACAATAATTTTATAAGGCCACCCTCGTAAAGGCCCCTCTCAAATAAGCCCCCATCAAAAAGTATCAAAAATAACAAGTCCCCAGGGGACTAATTCGAGGATTTACAGTAATCATGTTTTACTATCACATTTGACCTTTGATAAAATGACATTTGACCTTGAAAAGCTTTGATAAAATGTCAGAACTTGAAAAGATAACAATTCCTCTGGCATACTTTCCTTGTAGATGAAAAGTGTATGATCAAATTTGACCTATAAGACTCCTTCTACAGAGCCAATAGTTTGAAATAATAACACTTCAAGATCTATCATTTCTTTGACAAAAAGGTTACATGTCAGTGATGTTAGTCTTGAGGAAAGTGATCATGAAGAGCTTACAGTGCTAAATAGTGACAACGATGATGATGATGATGATGATGACAATGATAATGCAATGGAAACTGATATCAATGTGGATGATGAAGAGGATGAATATATTGTTGAGGAGGAGGGTGATGATGTTGAAGACTCAGATGATGCCATAAACAACAAGTAAGCTTTCTTCAATAATGATTACTACACTACTTCAAAACTGAGTTTATATTTATTCATATGTAAGAACTGGACAGACTATGTGCACTTTCTTATGGATTTTTTGGTAATTGTGATGGTATTTTAAAGCTTATCCAATCTTTTCAGGGCTAGTGAAAATGGATCAGGGACAGTGCGCACAGAGCCCAAGTTCATAGTTTTCCTCTCTCAGCTGCTTCTATTGCTTCGTGTTTGTCATACTTGTAAAGCTGATGGTCTCCTGACAACATATAGAGTCATTGGGACAATGATAGAAGTATCAACTTTGTGTGCCAATCCTATGTGCTCCAAAAAGAAAACATGTGGAAAAGTCAGCCTGATATGCCAGGAACAAAAATACCTGCAGGAAACTTTCTCCTTTCATTTGCGATTATGGTGGCTGGTACATCTGCTACAAAAGTTTCAACAGTTTTTAACCATATGGGGCTTGCATGCATTTCTCTTCGTACATATTATCATCATCAAAAGGTGAAACGCATATAAATGTTAACATTGTTTGCTTATTCTTAGGATGTTGGATATAGACATGTTAATTGAAAAAGTTTGTTTAGATTCTTATGATGCATTGAAAGAATGGATATGCATTTTTGCATATGAGATCTGTGAATCTTTATGTTTCTTTGGCTGCCACAGGCATTGAATGGGCATTCATTTTTTTCAAGTTAATTATAATGTCTTATTTACAATATATTTTTTTAGGAGAAGTTATTTCCATCAATCTTTGTGAATTGAAAAAAATACCAGCAGCAATTATTAAACAAAATAAATAACATTGGCGAGAAACTCATTGTGACTGTGGATGCACGCCATGATAGGTCAACAAGAAATACAACCCCTCAGGTTGCGAAGCGTGACGTCATACAATCGCCTTTTCGTGCGGCACCGAATTCGCGTTTAGCGGCTTAGATTGAAGTTGCAATGCAATGGCGGCCGAGTTCTTGCAGCTTCAGGTAGAGCAACAGGTGGTCAAAGGAGCAATGAATAAAATCTCAAGAAGTACGTGTTGTACAGTGTATTTGTTATGCGTACTCCATTTCTTTATTCCAGCTATATTTTTGTTTGAATCACATAAATATAATAATTACGCTCGCTTTTCTAAGCCCTAAAGAGACGCAGAAAAAAACACTGAGTATTTGCTTTTAGAAATTAGAAGACACAATTAATCTTACAAATATTTGAGAGAAGAAAAAGTGCCACCAATCATTTTTAGGCTATCTTTATGCAACAAATTGCACTGCAATTAATTTTCTGTGCTTTTTCAAAATCTTGCCTACCCCTAGATCTAAGAAATTTTTCAAGAAACTGCAAGTATTCTTGTTCATATAAATCTTACTGTATGAATCACTACTGGTTAGACTTCTAACGTAACATAACAAATTATTAGAATTCATAATGCAATTTTTGAAACACCTTCAGTTTTAGCATTTTTGCAGTAAGATTTTGTGAATTGCTACTGATTAAACTTCCAACATACCATTCAGGAGATGTTGTAACATCTCCTGAAGAGTGAGTTACTCACGAAACAGGCTTGTAGAGATAAACCATGTAGTTTTACTTTCTTCAATCTATGATATATCACGCTCTACGTGCTAACGTATTGAGCACTGTGCTACGGAAGTATCAAAAGACAAATTTCTATATATATATATATATATATATATTTAAGAAAGTAGGGTTTTGGTACAATGGATGGTATGGATATTTTTTGCTTTTATTGTTTGTATATATAAGAAATATGCGAGTATATTAATGAATTTTATCACATGATATGTCACATGCTCTACCTGATATTCTTGTTTAATCCTCATTGATTTCTTGATTACAGCCTTGCTTATGAAGTCTGGAGAAAATAGCAATACACTGTGATACACATTATGATATTAATTTGTAGAGATGCAGAATGGGGAAAGATTCAGAATGTAAGTAAGTTAAAAATAAGATCTTAGGATGAATTGTTTCATGAAAATGGTTTGAGTTGAGAATATGTCAATAACAAAATTTAGCCAAAAGTTTGTTAGATAAAAGGGGAAAAAGAACATATCTACAAATAATGCTTAATTTCCTGGCAGGCCAGTATCAATATTCAAATTGACATTTTTGTGAGCCACTCGAGTTTCATAAGCCTGCCCATACCGTCTCTTAACAAGCTTGCTGGTTTCCTCCTTTGGCAGAAGGACCACCTTGCTAGTAGTCACGTCGATTGTATCAAGTAGAGTTTCATCTTTTCCCAGTGGCTCTTCGTTTGCAGTGCTTTTGCGCCTAATTTTCTGGCCGGTATTTTCAAGAATGAATCCATTGTCTCTGTCTGCAGTATTTTTAAGGCCTTCCAAGATGTCATGTAACTTTACAAAAAGATTCTTCAGAGATGTTTCGTCAGTTATCAGATATGTCAGATTTCGTATTTGACTTAGATAATCCCTGCATTCGCTTGCAACATTTAATCTTGCTGATCTGCTCTTTGGTAACTTTCCTGCATTTCCACTTGTAGACGCTTCTTCAATGACTGATGTTTGTATATCCTCTTCAAAGCTTGCAGTCTCTTCATCTCGAACCAAGGCAGACATGAATGGATCGTCATCAGGCTTCTTCGATGACATTGGATGAGAAGTAACTTTAGGAACAACATGAAGGTCATCAAGGCGAAAAACTGGCGATTCTCTATACACTGCTGGAAGACTATACCAAGAATAGCCTGGACAATGTAGTGTGACAGCAAAAATGTGCTTGCATGGTAGGAGATTCAGTTGCCAGCTCTCACACTGACAAGAGGGCATTGTGTTTTCGTTACCAAACGACACTTGATATGTTCTAAACCGCGGCAGAGCTTGCACACTTTGAACTTCTATGCTCCCATCTGGCCTTAAAGCAATATGCTCCCGTTTGATGACGTTGGCTGCTTGAATGCTTTGCATGCAATTTAAAATGAAAAATCTTGGTCGGTCCTTTAAAAATTCAGGAACTTCAGCCTTGTATTTGCGATAACCGCTAGACGATTTACTATTCAAGATGGCGTATCTGTGGAAAAGATGATAAAACTATAGCATCGTTTGAGAACTATGAAGTTATGGTACAAAACAATTTTGAGGATGGCTTCTGGCAAAGGACCAAAAGAGAAATCATGTTCATCTGGTAAACAAATAATGGCTAAGGTAAATGTTGCTAAAAAATTTGCCATGAGATCTTATATCATCTAATCTTCAAATGGTATGCTAATGACAAGCCATTTCTAAGTTTGGGCAACTAATCCATTCAGAGTTTGCCAAGGTTGACACAAAGTTTTTTCCTAGGTTTCACACCAGCGTCTTAGCATTTGGAGAAATAGGCTCGAAGAGAATTGCTTTAAAAAGATGCAAAGTTCATATTTTCACTTACTTTCTAGAGGGATTAAGGAAAAAAATTCTCAACTAGGATAGTTGCCAACTGCGTCACGGAGCACTTCCGTTTACACCTCAGATAGGAGTACTTCAGCATCTCATTCTGACGTTCAATTCCATTGTTTGTTTTGATTAGGACTTGAAACGAATTGTTCCTAAAGGCCCAAACCCATCTCTGTGGAAGTAAATGGACTTTTGGTCATTTTAGTTCCAAGAAGTATAGAGAATAAGACAGCTCTGCATTTCTGACAAAGCTTGCAATTTCAATCAAGATGCAAAGTAAAGTAGAGCTACGTCATAATTTTGTCATTCAACAATAAGTTAAACCCGTGGAAAGACAGAGGTGCTGTAAGAATGATTTGTGGTATGGATAATGCGATATGGAAGCCACTCACCTTGTACTCAGGAAGCCACTGGTTGCTAAACCATTGTTGCAGTGCTGGGCTGTCTTTCCAAATGGATGATTCTCTCAGCTCGTGCAACATCTTATGGTACTGTACCTCAGATTCTGCCTTAGCTAACCTACCTAATCGTGCCAGTACTTCAATTTTGTATTCGTTCACTTTATTTTTGGTAGCACTCACCCACCGTGTCCATGCTTGCTCCGGATGGAAGTCGCACAAGTAAACTTCTGCGCCCTCGAAGGAATCTTCTAATGCGTTGATTTCTTTTTCGTCAAAATCTGTCATGAAGAACCGTGGATGCCATTTTTTATTCCAGGCCTTGATGACTTCGATGCCAGCTTTAATTTCTTCTTTAGTCTCATTTTGAACGATGAAAGTGCCAATGACTTGATAATTCACGTTGGTTCTGACACAAAGAAAAAAGAGTGGGAGACTGTACCTCATGGTTTTGTACGTGGCATCTAGAAGAACGATCTCTCCATATCGAGCGAAAAGACGTGCTTGCTGCTTTGACTGGTAGACGAAAAGGAATTTTTGAGTTTGTTGTCCCAATCGTTCGTCTTCGAGTCGCAGCTTGCAGTAAACGTTGTCTTCTGGAAAACGTTTTTTCCATTCCTCCACCTTGTACTGAAGGCTCTCCTGGTCATTTTTTGAATAAAGCTGTCTGATCTGCGAGAGATACATGTGGTTTCGGATATCTTGCAGTTGTGAATGAAACCTGCGGTTTTCAAGTTGACTGCTCTGTTCTGGGTATCGTGAAGCCACAGCCTTTTTCAGATGTCGCTGCATCTCTGCATCATAGACTCCCTCACTAACAAGCTTATCTATTTCTTTCAGGACTATTTTGTCTATCGGTTGACAAATGCCAGCTTCCTGAAATTAATTTGGGTTTGATGTGCGTTTTTTATTTAATAAATGGGTATATAAGATACATAAGATTTGCATTCATGATGAAGTTGTTTTGCATTTAAGATTCACGGGTAGGCAGAGAAAGATAAAAAATAATTTTATTTTAAACTTGATGAACTTTCTAAATTGAAGGAACCACATAAATGGAAAGCAAACTAGAATATGATTTGATACAAATGAAACAGCAAAGAAAAATTGAGGCTCAACTTGAACGCTATGTTTCATTTACATAAAAAACATATTAATGATCAAATGATATTTAACACATTTCTCTCACCCTAGTGGATAATTATATGGGTAGTTTCCACACAGAGATACAGCCGTCTATCCGACAGAATAACCTGAAAAACCCTGTTAAATATTTTTACATTTGCGATCAGATTTTACCTGTCCAACGACATGCCCTGAGTGCTCTTCTTGGCTGGGCAGATTAACAGCTATGCATCGTACAGCAACATCTGTGTCATGGATTTCCTTTTTCAGTTCCTTTTGCACCGCTTCCGAAGCCTTCCTTCGTTCATAAGGAGTGTCTTTATGAAGCTGTTGAATAATTGCAAATGAAATTTCAGTTGTGCTTTACTTTTGGCTCGATCGATGTTTTGTAAAATACAAGCTAATAACCTATGGGAGGGCAGAAAAGGTATTTGCAAAATTTTTATATAGTACATATTCAAGAGGAAAAGGAATTAAAAAAATCTAAGACATACTTTTGTAGCCAGGGCCTGCTCTTGATGCAGATATAAGTAAGATATTGTTGCGTCAAACTTAAGGGTACGAAGTAGCTCTCGTACGCACTTTTTGGAAGCATATTTGCTGGGAAAATGTAAGTTTATAATATTTATCAGAAGTTCTTTTATGATTGGTCTCCCGTAGCCTTGCACATCAAAGGATGTATGGTTAAGCTAAATATCATCATTTCTGTTGCTTTTTGAGAAAGATAAAAATAATTTCTTGTTACAAAATCACCGTAACATTAAGCAGAACACCAAATTTAAGTATTTACATTGTTTATATTTTAGTTAAAATTTTTAATATTACCTAGCTAACCTACCTTGGATTTCGTGAACAAAAGTATTTCTCGCAGTATAATCTGTGCCTTGCAGTCAAACTTCTTTGTGTCTTGCACCTTAGTACATTTTCGCTCAAAGCCATGCTCAGTTTGCTTAAAAATCAATTTCATTTCAACAATATTAATGTCTTTTCTGCAGGGAAACGGCTCAATTTAAATTTTTCTTTAATTACCTCTGGCTGAATTGATATTCTGATTTAATTTTTGATTTAGAACATTTGAAAAATGAATGTAGATCCTCAGTGGCATGCAACATTAAAAACACTGGAGAGTTGGTTAAAGCTGTCAAGTAAGATAAAACTAGCAATACCAAATGCCAATCATTTTAGCTCTTGAAGTTTATAAAACACTTAGCAACTTCTATCTTGTTTTCATGACCTGAAACAACAGGTCACCACAAACTAGTGAACAGTGGTAGAGTTTCAATGAACATTTATTATTTTTAATAATGTATATGAATATAAACTTGTTCTTTAAAATCTTTGGTAGGACGGAGCACCACTGGTCTCATTGCACGAGCCGCCACTGGTGAGAGTTCAAAGTAAAAGGAAAATTGCTATTATTTAATACAACTTTTAACCGAAAAGCTGGAACAAGGCGTCAAAATTCATTCCCAAAATTTTTACCAAAATCTTTAAAGTTGTGAAACTTGTAACCCGATTCTATACCAAATTTGGTAACACCAGGCCCTACCCACTAAAAATAGGCCCTACCTGTTTATTACGCTAAATTACTTTTTCTGCAAAGTGAGGGTCAGGGCCTCGCTAGCAGTCCAAAATTTTAGAGTTCAGCAAAATATATGGTGTTTGGGCCATCCACATAGTTTTGTGCTTCTGTTCTTTGTTCAGTTCTGAAAATCAATGAGTTGCTGCATGAAAATTGGATGTTTCAAAGGTGTTTTTTATTTGTTTTTTGAATGCAAACACTTCTTACACAAATCTTACACACCTGCTGTTTAGAAATGTATTTATTTAAGGACTCATTAATTTCCTTTTCCGCTGCATATTAGAAAAAGAGTGTGTGAGCAAGGTTTTAAATTCAATATAGAGAAAAGCATATATAAGTTATACACTCTATGTTTTTTTCAGAAATGCAGACCCTTGAATTTTAGAGATCTTGAAGGCCAGTTCTCACAAAAAGAACTTTTACAAATTATTGCTATTAAAATTTGCGTAATGTTATTTGGAACTTTTGGCAAAAGCTTGGTTGAGACTGGTTTTTATGAGGGAGACTTTGACACAAACCAATCAAATTTTTTTCAAATGCTGTTTCTTTATCAGTCGTTGCCACTGCCGAAAATGGCTATGACGTATAAACAAGAAAATTGTGCAAATGAATCAAGGCGTTTCCAACAAAGTCTTCGTCTAGTAATTTTTTTGTCACTTTGGTGGTCTAGCTATTGGATTTCTACTTGGATAAGAACACTTGTCTTGAATAATAAAATACAATCTAGTATATTACCTGTAGCTCCGAAGTTTTTTGTTTTCGACTTGTACACCGCGAACGTGGTAGTAGTGTCAATTTCGAAGGCACGAATCAAGCATTCAACATCTTGCGACGTTGCTACGTATCCTTCGTAATCGGAAAAACTATGTTTGAAGTATTTTACCCATGGCTTCTCCTCAACATCCATTTTTTTTGTGTTCCAACTGCCGTCTTGTAAAACTTGCTTATTTATACCAGGCGCTGATCTCTCACACAAAAAGACGGCGATTGACGCCTTCAGACTTATATCTCCGTAACAAGAAACAGTTGGAAACTCTTATTTCTAGCTTGAAAACTCGAGAAATATTCCAGTATATCCTAGGTCTAAGTGACATAGATTTACCTCAGGATTCACCCTAGAGTAAACAATTAAACATCGCTATTCTAGAGTCAACCTTGTGTGACCCTAGCTATTCTAGAGTCTAATTTATACTTATTGATGGATATATTTGGCTTCATAACGTCATTTGTAATTACATCATTCGACGAATACAAATCTATGTTACGTGGTAACAAAACATGTCTCTACCTACATGTTGTTCTATTACATCATCGATTACCCTGACAACAAACAACAAACAAATGGTCAGAACATTCCAAAATAACTTAGACGTAATCAAGTTACATAATTGGTAAAAATAAGAAATGACAGCGAGCACTTAATTAAATGCGATTAAATTTTTTATTCACTGTCAGAACCCAGCACACAAGAATTTCCTACCGTAATGTATTCTGACAACATATCTTGGCATGCATTGACTAAGTGTAAAGTTGTTTTGTTTACTGATTGCAGTGAATATCTGAGCTGGTGGTGGGATTCCTTAAAGTTACCATTACAGTAACAACCCACAAAAAACAGCCACCAGTTTTAAAAACCTTTACCCTAAAAAATACATGTTTCTGATCATTTTAATAACAAATTGCATGTTACAGATTACCCACAAAAATTCTAAGCTTTCATATTAATCTGAATAGTTCAGCAAAGACGCCGGTGTTTTCTTTCAAGATAAATACACCATTGTTCAAAGCTTGCTAAAAATTGAAGAAAATGAGTATAAACAAGGTAAAATAAAGTGAGCTTGTGAGGTTTCTTGTAACTTTCAAAATTAAAAATCGATTTTTTGTTATTTCCAATTATCAATAATTCTTCCTAAAAGTGTATATTGGTGTAAATCGTTTGATTTCCTTATTTTATGCAAGAAGAGTACTTAGTTAAGAGATTATTGAATTATTTTCACCTTTTGATCCGTTTGCATTGTACTGGTCACTTGTTTGCCAGAAAATAACCCCAATATTGAAATAACAAAGATTTCATACTTCTTCTCATGGAAGATCATTTTAATCATATTTAAACTTTAAATGACATTAATCAGAGCATGACAAGAACTAAGCTATATCTGCACTTTACGTAGGTTTACATGTCTGAAGTATACCTACTTACCAACTCATCAAATTTTAATTAAAATTACAAGGGCAACATAAGAACTCATTGGCTAAAACGAGGTTTTAAGAATCAGGTTTTTTGTTTACATTTTTTGATTAAGAACATTAAATAAGTCTGCATAAGAATAGTTCTTTTATGGAGATTTTTACTGTAATAAGGCCTAAGTACGTTTTGATAACGCAGTAGTAAACAATCGTGGCTAGCACAATGACTGAAGTAGAATAAATTTGAGAGGTTGTGCAATGTAAGACCATTCCTTCGTACGCTGGAAAGGTCTATCTTTTCTGGTATGACTTGCTCTGTATGTTCAGCAATATGAAACATATTTTGTTGTTTATACGCTGGAGTTGTTTTGCAACTGTTACAATCCTTGTGGAATTTGTGTTAGGAAATTATAAAAAAGCAAATAATTAAATTACATTGCAGCGCATTGAAATAGGAAGCAGCTCAGCCATGGAATATGAAGGGTTTAAAAGATGTATGGAGTTCCTCTTGTCTCTGCCAACTGGAATATCAACATTTGTCTCAGACAGACACTCTTCAGTCATAAGACACATGAAGGAGGATCTTCCTAATATCAAACACTATTTTGATCTGTGGCACTTGAAAAAAAGTATGTTACATTGTTATTTCCAATTTTGTTTAGAGCAAAAATTGAAAATGTTTGTCAAAACATGCAGAGAATGGTAATTCTGTCTTTCAGTTTTGTCATATTATTCAGATTTACTATAAATGCAAAAAGTATTTGGCACAATGGTAGACAATAACTTCATGAAATGGAAAAAAGAAGAACTCATTCCACTGTAATCAAATGGCATAACATTCACAGATAAAAACAAACAAAATTTTCCTTTCCACACACATTGCATAATCTCCACAGTCATTTAGTAAGGAACACCATGCAAAAATTTTACTTAAGTTTTCCTTTCTCGTAAATAACCATTACCCAACAGTTTTTTCACTGTTTTCAAGGTTACTTTTTTTCTTTAGAGGTTCGCAAGACCCTTAAAAATATTTCAAAGTTGAAGGGTTATGAAGACATTACAAACTGGATACAGCCATGTGTGAATCATCTCCACTGGAGTGCAACAACTACACCAAGTGGTGATGGAGACATTATCCTTGCCAAGTTCAAGTCCTTTTTAAGCAACATTGTTAATAAGCATGAAGGCCTTCCAAACCATTTGTTCAACAAATGTGCTCATGGTGATGATATTAAACAGCGCCAATGGTTGAAAAAAGGTTAGCAAAACTTAACTGACTAGTTTGTTCCTTATAGGCTTAATTATGCTTTCATTTGTTACTTGGTACCTATTGTTATTAAATCAATCTTTAAAATATTTTAAATTAGATCAAATGTTTGGATTGGCAACATGTTTTTCTTTTCTTGCAAGAATTGGCTGTTAAAATAGCATATAAATTGTTTCTCAAATGCTCAACCGGGAAGACCATTACCACTTTTTAACATAATTTCTATTCTCAGATCAATGAACTCTCTCTTGATCTTTTTTTGACAGAGTCTGATGCCTTTGAAAAGCTTGAGTTATCCCTGACGACAAAGTCTTTAGAAAAAGGCATTCAGCAGGCCTCCCCATTAGCTCAGACAAGTTGTCTGGAAGCATTTCATTCAGTGGTCAATCACTTCAGCCCTAAAATGATTGGTTTCTCTTATGTTGGAATGTATTGCAGGTACTTGAAAGAAGATCATTTTTTAACTTTTGCTTTCTTTTCTTAAAAGTACCCATGAAGTAATGAGCTCTGCATTATTTGCTTAACTTTTTACTGATGCACTTCTTTAAAAGTCATGATAAATAAAAAAATTGCTTAGAAACCTTTGCATCAGCAAAGATCTTTATTTTCTAGGCATGCTTTGGCTGCCTTACATTTCAACTTCAATCTAAACAGAGAGGTTAAAACAAACGAAGATGGTACCCCCCAAATAGCTGTCCATTACCCAAAGTTTAAGAATGGAGAGGCAACTATCAAGGAGGTTAAAATAAACCAAAATTTTGGTAAGTCTGAGGTGAAGATTTGGTCAGTACCTCTGCTGCTCATAACAAGATTATTTGTGTTCATAACAAATATACCATTAAAACAAATGTTTCCAGGTATTTTTTATGCAAACCAGTGGAACTGCTGTGAAAATGAAAAATAACACTACTTATGCCTTTCATGTGTATATATACTTTAATGTGCTTCTTCGTGTTATCGTTTTAGATTATGTCTCTGAGTTGTTTGAAACAATTTTAAATATGACAGCAGAAGAAAAAGAGCAGGCAATGGTTGAATTGCACACTGCCACACCACAACCCTTATGTGCAGAGTTTGACAAGGAGACAAGGGAAGAGGCTGTTGAGAAGCGCACAAAACGGCAAAACATGTGCATGCAGGAAGTACCAGCAACATGTCTGGGTAAATTTTACTCATATAAAAGCATCGAAAAAACCAAACAATTTTCTAATATTAAAAGTTAAAACTGAGATATTTCACTTAAAGCATGCTCATTAAATGGTGGTCAATTATTTGAAATCACAATTTCTGCCATTTTTTCAATGATCAAACTTCAAAAGAAATAAACTGATGTGAAAAGTCCACTAAAAATATTCCTCAGTTTATGATATTTTTCTTTTTTAGTTGCAGAATCCAATACAACTGAAGCTGCACCCAGAAAACTTCAAAAATCGCCACATTGCCGTCTTTGCAATAACCCAATGAAAGGGCATAAAGATATATCTGATTGCCCAAGGAACCAGCAAAGACAATAATTTATGCTAATTTGTGCCATTAGCAAGTTCTTTCAGCTAAGCTTGGGGCTATACTGAATATACTGAAATGAAAAGTTGATTGCAAAGAGACCCCATTTTTTTTGTTTTATATTTTGTTAACTGGAAACACACCATTACCTCTTTTTAAGTATTAAGATATTAATAAAACCCTAACTTTTATAAAATGTTTGCAAAAATTAGTTGTCCAGATTACTTTAATCTCATTGAGCCGCATTTTCGTCTTGTTCAGCAAAACCTGTTAATGTCTCGCTAGGTATTTGAAATGTTTCCCGAATGATGTTATAAACACAGGCAGGTAAAGGCAAACGAGTTTTACCAAGCTTCCCATGTATAAGTCTGGAGGCTGACCTGTAGGCAACAGATCGCATAAATCTACAAGGATAATTGTACTCATTAGGATAAGCATATTAGATATGACCTCAAAGCCAAATTAGAAAAAGACATTTTTCTTCTCTTGGACAACTAAATGTCTATGAAATAGATGTTGATGTGTCTGGCATAGCTTTTGTAAGAACAAACTGTTTAAGCGTGCATTAGTCTGTTTTAATGTAAATTTTTTAATGCCCTCTTTATTTTACATAGATTATATTAGAAAATGGTTAGAAATTTTTTTAAACATTGAGTGATAAATATTGAGTTTCACTGCATACCTCTTCTCAGAACCAAGGTTTTTGTAACGTGTGCGCTTTGAAGTTTTAAATTGATCAGCCATTATTTGAAGTGTCCATTCATTCAAGAAAACTGGACTAAAACCAGGGTGTTCTATAAAACATTGTGGTGTTACTCCAAGTTGCTGAACAACCCTAGGGTCATGAAGAGCAATTTTGCAGTTTTCAACCTCTCTACAGCATTGACACTCTTTTGGGTTTTCCAAATGCTCAACCCTACAGTTGCCACATTTGCACCTAAAAAAGACCTCAAAGAGATAGGAGAGGAGCCAAGGTTTTCTTAAAGTTATGTATTTTGATTCGAAATATTTTTTCCGTATATATGGGAGTTTTATTGGTAAAACCTATGATATATTCATAACTGGGCCAAGATTTGAGCACTCAAGGCTTCTATAAATCTTTTTCTCTACTTAATCAAAATTTTGACATTAATAAGATACTAACTCATTTCGGATAAGATCTCCTATTGCCATCGGTCGTATCTAGACCTTCGGGCCGACCTAGGCCTGCGGGCCTAAATGCATTTCTACTTTCTGCGGGTTGTATAATAAGCAAAAGAAAATTTCGTTTACCATGTGGCCAGTGGTTCTGTTCCATTTAGGCGTCTGTTGAGCTTTTCAATTTGTTGCTCTTCCTCTCTTCGCTCCCGATTATAATTTTTGATCCACTCGTCGTCTGCTAGAGGTTCATCCATGTATGGACCAATGTAATCAACTCCGCCAACAGCAGCAGCGAGTGCGTTTCCTTGGCCAGGGTCCTCAACGTCAAGAGAAAACTGGGACGATGTTTCGCTGAGCTGTTGCTCTTCGCATGTATCAGACAGACTGTCAATGTCCGACATCTTGTATAAACGTAAAATGAAGTTTTAAATGTATTCAAGTGAATTCCGAGTTACGTGCTTTCACACTCCGACCATAGATTCTATTGTTGTCGTGCAATGGCAAGTTTTATTATGACTCTTCTCACGTCATGACTTGACTAGTTCCAGATCTCTGTCTTAGCGCGCTTTTCAGTTGGGGGCACTGTTCTAAAAACCCCTGTAATCAAGTTTATTTTACCCGGATCCGAAAAAAATTGCTACCAGAACATTCCTGATAGTTCAAAGTTAGAAAATTCTAAATTTCACATTTGCCTTCATATGACCTTTAATATGTCTATATAATCACGAGGACTTTCTGCTCTCAAACGAAATTTTACTGCATAGATAATACCATGCTTACATGCTACCAGAGCAACCAAAATGTTTTTTGAATATTTTGTTAAATCTCGCCTCTCCTTTGCCTAATGCTTCTTCAATTCGGTAATTCGGTTTGCCTAATGCTAATTTTTCTACCGAGAAAACCTTTACTTAAAACATTTGTTGTGATCATCCCCCAGAAGTTTACACAGTTCACATAGTCCGTGTATTCGTCATCTTTGTCTGGTAGATATCATTACAATCTACACAATAAATCACAGTTGATTCCGATGGGTTAAGAGTTTTCAAATGAGCGGGTGGAGGAAATGGAATTTTCTCAGATTTGGGTGGATAAAGAATGGTGTCTAGTTCAAGGTCATCATCTCCAGCACTTCTACCGATTTCCTCACTCTCATCACGAGTCATAATCTCTTCTTCAGAATTAATAGCAAGGTCTTCTACAATTAAATCATATTGGTGGAGATACCAAAGTGCCAATGTCTTATGGAGACAAATGAAATGATTCATTTGTCAACGGCAATCTATTTTACACTTAAGCTTATCATACATTACATTTATTTTAGAATGGACTTTGAAGTCACTATATTTCCCATCAAATATTGATAAATGGATGTAGTTTTTATCATCCCAATCAATAATTATTGGGGCCTTTTCCCGCATTGCTAATTCTTTATGCTGAATGCATTTTTCAATAGTTTCACTTTTCAAACTTTTGTTATGAACCCAACTCAAGAAGACGGTTTTCGTCAAGATCTATATTTTTGGGAAAGTAGGCATAATTTACAAGAAGAAGATGAGCACACTCTCTTCCTTTCATATTCAACCTTACGGCTATCGCCATTTCCTCTCTACAACTCATAACCTCACAATCTACTGCTTTCCCCTGGTTGGTGTTTACTACTTTCTGCACATGTATGCGGTACGAATTTCTACCATGGTTAGACCTGCGGACCATGTCCAAGATCACTGTCACAGCAAAAGGCAGTGTATATTGTTTGTATTTCATGCTTAGATTTCAAATATCTTTTAATATATTTTGCTGTAATTAGCTTGCCGCAATGATGGCAAGGCTCCCTTTCTCCTTTACCGTGTCTTCATATTTCTGGTATCACATCCTCTTTCAAATGATTACCTTGTGATTTGTGTATTTCAGCGTTAATTGGCTTTTGCTTCTCAATTCTACTTTTACACTGATTATTTTCCTTGCGAATACTTTTCACATGGGATTTAATATGTTGCAAGAAATAGCTCTTTTGCTGTATAACATTCCCATATTCAGGACAATGGTAATGGGAGACATAAGGATTCTTAAATTCTTTCTCTATGTGCAAAGGTTTGCATGGAAGAATACTAACCGAAGCATATCTCACTATTTGCTCAGGTTTTAAGTGACAGTTAAGGATGTGTTCCTTAGCGTAGGATATGAAATAATCTACTTTAGATAATGGACACAAGGCACAATGAAAGTGTTAAGTTTTCTCGGTACATATTCTTGTTGCTTTTGAATAATTACAGGATGTCATCAATAAACCCAACCACGCAGTTGTATCTTGGACATGACTAACATGTTTCCTATTCGTTGCCAAAGTTGATTCACTGGTGAGTTCAGCAACAGGGACGTTGGAATTATTGTATGCCTTTCTAGTTGAACTTTCTTTACTCCCAGACAAAGAAGCTGCTTTACTATTCTTTTTTACTTCTTGTCTGGGCTAAGTGGAGGAAGGCATGGAGTTGGTACCATGACTGTCTATTCTTTAGGGCATACTCTGTGGCTTATTTACATGTGAATCAGGCACATCGTATCTAGGGACGGCTGGACATTCTTCCCCTCGAGCTACAGACAAATTTATGCATCCAGAAAGCAACCATTTAGCAACAACTAGGTTCAGAAAATAGTTATAATGACTAACATTTCTCAAATAGCGGTAATGAGAATTCTCACACCCAGGAATACCACGCAAAGAAATAAAGAATGCATCATCTAGTGCTGCCAGGCACATGCAAACAGTCATGGAAATTCCACGGATACTGCTGTATGTTTGCAAGGGGAAAATGTCCAGCAATCGTTAGAGCAAACATGATTACCAGCAGTATATACATTACAATGCATGGAAGTAACCAAACGCCGAGAAGCTATCTCATTGTCACCCAACAAACACAAAAACTCCTTAAATATCCTACTCACTTCACTGGGGATATCATAGCCTAGAAAATCTCCGTAGTAAAGGGTGTTACTATCTGAATAGTAAATGAAACATGCAAAATGGTTACCGTTATAATAAACAACATCTATCATGCTGTGACCCAGGTACCTTCGGTGGAACGAACGACAATGAATCTTTCCTTGGTCTATTCATCAGGGCTGCATTGGCTTCTTCCTCAGCGATCAAATCTATTGCATAACTCTGTGTTTTCACGGTAACTTCGGTTTACTGTGGTCTAAAGACGTTGATACGATTTAGAGTAATAGCGTAGAGAGTAGAAAGTAGAGATTTTGCTCCTACCTTTCCAGTCAAATTAGTTTTGCTCCCACCAAGGAAAGATGCTGACGCTATCCATAAGAAAGGACAAAATGGTAAGCAATGACACTTCTTGAAGCAGGCACCCTAGGAAAGGCTTTCAGTTTCAATGTGCAAAAGTAAACCTTGAAGACTTTATCCAACCGTGAAGACCGCTGAGATTTTCCCTACAAGAAAATGAAACGACTATGTCTTTGAATTAATGAAAATATTGTAGTTTTACAAAATAGATTTACTAGTTGAGGAATGACATCTTGAAGCTTTTCTAGCTTACCTGTCTTCATGTTGTGCATCTTATAATGTTCTCATTCTTTCCCTCGTGATTTTGAGCCTATAAAACCCTACATGTAAAGATCACCAGTTAAAAAACCAGTGTCAATGAATTCTCTGTACACTTGGAAAGTACAATATAAAAATATTTCGAAAACCGCAATTTTTGTATAAAATATTAGGTTGTGGCGCATTGTATATTGTCAAAACAGGGAAAATCATAGTGTGTAACTTAGTCAATGCAGCATTTCCTGTGGTAGTCGTTGAACAACTAATGACAGTCGGAAACTGAACTGTAATGAAAACTTTCAATTATATTCAAAAAACACAATATTCATGTGTATGCAAGAGCGTGCAACTAGTCGCAGCGACAGTTGCCACGTGCCCCCTTTATTGTCAGATAACGCCATATTTACCAGCAGGGACTTTAAAAACCTTTGATTACATAGTGCCATTCAGTTCGCCAAAAGAATTCACTCCGTTAAAATTTTATTAACAGAAATAGAAAAATAACAAAGTGCATCCTACAGAGCTGTGGAGGGGACAAGGCTCTCTGTGGCGCTGCCAAAGGTTGCAACAAAGATCTTCATTCAGCTTCTGTAGCAAAAAATCCACGGAAATGCAATGAAACCATAATTCTGTCACATGTTCGTTTACTCTGAATTTAGTTTAGCAAGTCTTTCAGTTGACTTATACAAGAGGGGATAAAACACAACGATACAGAGAATGTAGGCCCACAAACAGAAAAACTGGATGAGCTCTGGAGCATACCTCTGAGGTATGACTCTTCTTCCTTGTCTTGCTTGGGGAACTTTGCAATGTATAACCGGATGCTTCAAGACAACAGCGGGTTGGTCTTTGATAACGGTAGTTTCCCTGCACTGAATCAAGAAAATTGGAAGAAAGTTTAAACAAAAAAAGTTGCAGTTTTATTGTCCCATCATCTTTATTACCAGCTTCAAACGAATGTAATTAAAAGAACATGAATCTGTTTTTATTTCATTTCCTCCTTTTCTTCCTGCTGGTTAGCTAATCAGTTTCTTAATCGCAAAGCAAAAGTCTTTTCCTTCAATCCAAAAACTAAAGGAAAATGCTATCTTTAAAGTATTGGTAAGCAGATTACCTAGAATAAGTTAGTACTTACCGAGCGGGTTATGATGTTGAAATTCACGCCACATCCATTCTGGGCATCTTGGCTTTGGGGTACATGGTACCCGGGTCTTTCTGCTTTCAGTATCTCGGGAAACCATTTGACTAGCGATCTTAGGTTAAGTATACCACAATCCCTTCTGACTGCTTTATCACTGCATCTGCCAGCATATAGGTGTGACACAAATGTTACTGCACCTGAAGGTGCAATACCAAGCAAGCCCTTGGCAGTATTGCAATATTTTTGGTTACAGTATGTTTCACTCTGTGACCTGAGTAAACTAGGCATTTCCATGAATATTTCAGTAGCATCCAATATCACATGTGTACTTGGATACATTTCTTTGAATGCATTCGGCATTGTTTCATCAATAGTTGACCTTGATGCCCATATTGGCAGCTGTCTAATTGACCTTGTATATAGGAAATCAATCCAGGTGATGAAGATTCTTGAAAATGCCCAACAGAATTACCTGCCCTATAAGCTATGTCTTTTTCTAAAAGTCCACACTGTAAATGTAAAAGGACGAGAAACAACTCTTGCTCTAGTGCCAGTGTCCTCTTTGGTCCACGCTTTGGATTCTCAGGGCAAACTGTATCTGCATTTGTGTTTTACTTATAGTATATAGGCTTCTGTGCTGCTGGCATTAGAAAAATATCACAAATGTTTCATGATCTTGGAAACCAGTTTTAAAAATGAAATATCATCCTTTATATCATCAACATGAAATGATGCTTGTTCAATCTTTGCTTTTATTGATTCATTTCCTTTTTTAGCCTGACGCAATATTTTTGCAAAAGATTTGTGTGCTGTCTTTCCCTTGCTTCCATTTCCTTCCTCAGAGCAGCAAGCTCATTCGATTGTCAGAATTAACTGCCTGTCAGGAAAGTTCTCATCACCATTTGCAATTACTTTGACAAGTTTTTCTCGATGGAATCGTTCTTCCATGAGGGCTCTGTTACGACATTTAAATGTGGCTCTTGGTTTTGTTATGCTGGGGCGTATTGCCTTTGGAACGATGAGCAGCACGTTGTTCATGTAAGTCTTTTTTCCACCAACGAAGTGTACCGAACAAACCCTGTGTCCATTCGTTGGTTTGAAGTCCTTGCGACTGATAAGGGATATCCATTTTTCCTCAGGTCGATCTTCTCAGGTCGATCTTCTCTTGCGGATTTCCAAATGGAAACTGGTAGAAACTAAGAGTTGGATTTCTTTTGCTATTGCTGAAACAACCTGGCACGCAACACATAAATCCACCAGCTTTTGATTGCTTCTCAGGGATCTCATCACATAGGCCTACCCTTAGGTCTCTTCTCATATCGACAGCTTCTGGCTTTTGGTGTAATACAGCAAGTTGCCCCGGCCTAGAGTTTTGAAAAAAACTAGGGCGACTGTTTGAAGAAGTATCTGTATTTGTTTCTTGAGTAATTGAAAGGTTATCCATATTTTAAATTGTAAATAGCTGTACATAAGATTGAGCAATATTGCAATGACTTGAAGAGCGCGCTGATTGCTGTGTTGTTGTTTAAACACATTCGGAAGGAGGTATGCATGCTGGATCAAGGAATAAAGGCGTTCAGAAATGGAGCATATATTCATGTGCCTGAAAAGGGTTAATACTTTAGCTGGTTGAGAACCAGAAAAGAGAGTGGAAGCAGCCAAGAGAAGTTTCTCCATGGCATTATATGCTCAGGTTGACTCCTCCATTCAGTTGAGTGACCCTCTAAACATATCGATTTAACAATTAGCATTGTACCACGAGTTCTTTTCTTCTCAATTTTTGTTGGTGGAGAGCAAATGTTGCATCTCATGAGAAGTTGCTGAAGCAAAGATTCAAAAACAATAAACTTTCTTACCTGGTGGTATGACTGTGGATTTTGCTCATATTCACAGTCATGCTTATATTCACAGTCATGCTTATATTCACAGTCATACTCATAATTTGATTTCTCATCGTTCTCTGGCAACCATTCTGGGTCTTCTTTTTCTGATGTTTGATGATGATGGTTGTTTCGACTTTCAGGCAAATCAGCAATAGCTAAATCAACATTAAAAAGGGGCTCATCTTGTGTTTCGTGGTCAACCATTTCAATTTTCTGCATGCAACATTGTGTTTGTTTGTTGTCCCAACAAAACGAGACTTGGATAGCTGAAAAATGGTTATTTACCATCAATCGCTAAAGGGACTACTTACAAAAAACTTAAAAGGTTTTATATTTGTTAATCCCAACCACCAGGGAGGGGGGTCGCTTGATTAGAAAGTAATGGAGTGCGCAAAAAAATTTGCAACCAGACCCTGTCCTATTAAAAGTTTTACAAATACATATCCTGTCTCATCAAAAGTGCAAAAATATGGCACAAAAATGCTAAAGTATACAAAGACACATAGTTTGTCGGGGCAGATTATTGAAATAATTTATATTTTGCTGTAAATGCCCTGTCCCAAACAATTTCCTCAATTTTGATACCCTGTCTCAGAGCTTTGATGCAATTCATGAGACCCTACCCTGGATGATCATCATAAAAGTATAAATTCATCAAGATCGTCTTATAACAAAAGAAGTTTGAATCCGAAGCGTACCATCATTACTCACATCATGTTTTAGTCAACGTTTTTTTAGTTTTTTTTTCCTTTCCCCGGTATCTTCTCCTTGACAGCTTGTTTTAGAAATTAAAATCGTTTGAAGCAAGTTGTTTTCGTCATTATCACTATTGTTTCGGTTGAGCTTTACACTTTCGGTTGGTTCTGACACTGTGCTTGCGATGTGGCTGTTTGGGGGTCTTTGCATTTTTGGAGTAGATTTTATATAACCTTAAGTATTAAGAGATGTGGAATTGAAAACAAAGTCATTTCTCATGCAGTATACGTATATGGTAAACAGAGATGCAAAACTAGTAAGCTAAAGGGGACGCATCTGTTAATGTTAAAAATTATCTCTTTTTTGCTTCTTGTTAATGTTTCTTGGCTGCTAATGGGTTATAAGTTGAAACAGTTATAAGTTGCACAACCGACCATCTTTAGGACGAAAATGACCGTTTGGGTGGTCTGGCTGACTGCGATTGAAACCTCTGATGTCATAAGCCTGGGCGGGGAAAATTTCAAAAGTGAAGAAAAACTAATTTCTCAAAACAATAATTATCATTTTCATCTTGATCTGGTCATAAGCTTTCAAGAAAGTATAACTTTTTTTGATTTTGCAGGTCTCCTTTAAATAAAATCAGCGAAAAATAAAAATCTACAATGTTTATTAAATTTACTAAAAAACTACAGCTGCCTTTGAGTGAACTCAACGTAATATTCCTAAAATCTTAGGTTAAAATTCTCCTATCTCTGGGGGAGGGGGCAAGTTTACAAAATTTGGTTCTTCAATCAATTTAACGAATGTGTTGTAGCTAGTATAAGTCTCTTTTCATTTACCTTAATGACCCTTATGGTCCGTCAAAAATACATCCCTCTGATGCCGAAGTTGAGGGACTGCCCAAATCTAAGGCACCAATGCAAGGAAAGGGGATCTCCATCATGGTGTGATAATGCAAATTAGAAAGCCTCTTAGTTATTATGAAGTCCACTCGAGCTGGTAGTTGGTCTCTGCGAGACATTGGCAGCAAATTTTAGATCACAAGCAAGTTTTATACCTAGCTAACCGGCAACTAACTTTTTATGCCACAGCGAGTAGTTTTCAAGGGACAACTTTTTTGGTGGACGCTTTTTGAGCAGCTGCTGTTAGTGCGGGAAAGGTTGGACTTTTAGATTTCTGATATAATTAAGATGGACTTTGAATTAGCTAGTTAAAATACGCAAAAAATACGCTAGTTAAAATACGTGTTAGAATCAGCAAAAACCCCTAAAAGAATGGTCAAACAAATGACTAGTCCATTTTTGGGATAGGTCACCTCCAGTTGGCTACTTTTGTAGATGAGGACCTCAACACACCAGCTCATTCTTTGTCAATGTTTGCTTCAGCAGTGTCGCCAGTGTAGCCTTCAAGATTACCAGGAACATTGTGGTCCTCAGCACTGTCCTCATTCTCTGCATTGGAAAAATCGGCTCCATCATTTGATGCTCACCACAGCCATTTGTGTCGAAAACAGAATGGCTAATTTTATCCCTGAGCAACTGTACTTTCTCTGACAGCATTTTTTGGAAGTGAAACATGTGCTGAGTGCATGCAGAAGGCATTGCACATAAAAGAAGTGGCCACAGGTAAATACACACCAGGTGTGGTATACTTTCTTGCAGTCCTCTTTATCACATTTTCTATTTGAGATAAAAACATTGATGGAAAATTAGTTAGATTTTATAATTTTTGTTGTAAAACAAATGTGCATTTTTCTAATTGTCATCCAGGTTGTCAGAACTTAAAATGTTTTCAGACTTAAAATTGCATTATGTTAATTTGATGTGGTTTTGTTACTCTTATGTGGTAAGAAAACGCGAAAATTGATCAAGAATGAAGAAAAAATTAGAAGCACCAGGATGTGGTACTACAAAATGTCAGAATGAAATAGCTTTGATACTAGAAGTATATATATATCTTTTATGAAGAGGTATACCTGCAATATATATTATATATACCAATCTAATATTTCAACAAATTCAGATTCTTAAACTAAAGAGACTGTAGCACCATACCGATTTGGATTTGGAGCATTTGTCTCACACCCAGTAGGAAGTTTCCAGCCAGTAGGAAGAAACTCATCAACTACAACTTTCTGCCCAAATAAGTTTGGTAGCCTGCATTTTGTTTCTTTTGTTTTTTCTCCTTCTCTTGTTTTTGTAACTTTTGTGGCTTGTCCCATGTTAGAGCTCGATGTGGCAAACTTTTCTGTGAGAAATTCTGCTGCCTCAACCTCCAAGTTATCAATGCTCTTTTGACTATATGTTGGCCTCCTTGGTGGCACAAATGTTGCTCCAAAGTCATGGAGCTCATGCTTCAGTGCCTTGCGTGATATTTGTTCAGCATTGTCAGTTTCTGTGGTACTTGCTCATAATAATGAGTGAAAATTTTCAACAGGGTATTCATCAAAAGCTGGAAAGAGGAAGAAATTGGAATGATGATTGGATGCCCAATCAATTTCCAGTACTCAATGTTGGAAAGAGCTATGAAAGGAGCCTTGTCATAATGTCTTCTCCTGAACACAAGAAACATTACCCAGCAACGAAATAATGATTGATAATACTCAGTTGCCATGTTACTTTTGAATACCATTGAGTAAATACTCAGTGTTATAGAAATGTAACTGTCAAGGACATTGAGTAATGTAAGATATTCAAAATCTTTACAATTTGGAAAGGCAGCAATGATCTCATTCTTAACCAACGTCCAACCACCATATAGCACTTCCAACAAAAATGAAATTATTGCTTCAACACTTTGGAATGACTTTAATAGAAGTGTTGCCATGTGAGTGACTTAGGATGTGACAGAAGTAGTGGCACGCCGATTAGCATGGATATTATTGTAGTCATTTTATCAAAATTATCACCATATACCCTTTTCTGCTGCATTTGTAAAATAATCATTCACGGTTTTGCTATGATTTGCAGCAATATCTTCATTGGTGTTAATAACCGTGCGAGGGTGTGCTTTAAAACTTATTTCCATGACCCTACTTGTAACCCAAAAGTCTCTTAGAGTTCTGGCGGTTGCCACTTGAAAAAAGTTAGCCTTTTGTGACTGACCGTAGACAAGGCTGTATATAATTGAAACAGCTCTTTTTATATTGATTTTTTTTCTTTCAGCTGTTTGTCTATCAGTTGACATAGGTTCTTCCTTAATTTTGAAAAATTGTTGTTGCCCCTGCTTCGTTACAAAGCTTTTCAAATTTAGCTGGATCAGTTATTGGTTCACCATTTTCACCAAACGTTTGGAAACATTTTTCCTTTGTTTTTGAGACTTCAGATTTCAATTTAATTCTAGCATTACCAATTTCTTGTTGCTCAAAATTTCCGTCTTTCTCCAGTGTTTCAAAATCATTGTCTGTTTCTTGTGTGTCTGTTTCTTGGGAGATTAACATGAGCTTTTGGCTGGGATTACTCTGTGTCTCCGTAATTTCTGAATCATTTTCTATGTCAGAGCTCTCTTTTTCATAATTTGGTTTCTCTTTTCTTTTTCAAGATGTGTTTTAACTGGGCTCTTTCTTGATCCTGTAATATTGTAAATAACTTCCCTACAGTGGGAAAAACTCTTTGCTATTTATTAATTTCTGAAATAAAAATGAATTAAGAACTCTGGAAAAGGAATTAGACCTCTGTCTAAAACTCGATGTTTTTCAGATGGCAAAATTGATCTGTTTTCAACAAACAAAGATGTTAGCTTCTCTTTTTCTTCATCAGAAATTTTCCTTGCTGCTAAAGAATCCTTCCGATGATAAACGTTACCATCAAAGTGAAAATACAGGCGTTTTGACAAGAAATTTAATATGGAAAAAGTTACTTCAAACTGACATTCAGGTATTGTACATTCAGCCTTGCAAGTCCGAATATTTGAATTTTTTTTAAGCATGTTTTTTGAATATGTGTGAAGCCAAAAATCAAAACGCAAAGTTTATTGGTCTTAGCTACCATTTCCCTATTCCCTCAGATGAAAGATAAGTTTTTTTTGCCTTCCTGACTGTTGTTTATGCTATAAACAAACATTCTTTTTTGCCAATTTTTTGGTAGAGATAATCTTATGCTTTTTCTTTTAATATGGGCCCTGATATTTTTTAAGCCATACTTTAATCTGGACAAAGCTTTTATAAGATCTTGGGAGTATAGTTGATTAAGATGGGGATCTTCTTCAATGGAAGTGTCACTATCGACGTCAAAATTGTCTTGCGATAGGCAAGAAGCATCTCCACTATCAGTTTCTACACACAAATTCTCTGTATCTTCATACAACCTTCCTAAAATACGCTTTGCATAGGCTGACACAGCCTCTCCTAAGACAACCCCTACTGCCTTTTCATGCCTACGTGATTTCATTTACCTTTTTAAGCACTTGTTTTTCGCTTTTTCTATTAAAAGACTATTGCTTTTCCTAGGGGGAATCTTTTCCTTTCCTTGTTGTGCTATATTTTCATTCTTAGAAAGTTTCCTTCTTTCAAATTTTTCAGAACCAAAGGACGGTTCTTTGGGAACACGCTTGCTCGTAGTACTAGATATGATTGCAGACTTGGTGAAAGATATATTTGTATCGCTTGCCTTTTCTCCCCCCACTTATTATCGTAGTTAACTAGAGTATTCTGTTCAGAAACTTGCCCACAGACAGAGTCATCATAAAAAGTCTCAATCTTGTCCTTGTTTTCAGAAATTGTTTTGGCATCAAAAGAGACAAAACTTTAATTATTGTTTGGCCCTGGGGAGTTGTTCTCGATTAACAGAATTTAATTTATTACCTTATCAATAATTGACTTATTTCTGTAATACATGGAACAAAACTTTTTGAGTGTGCTGGGATGATTAGCCTAGGACCTTCCGTAATACTTTTTAAAAATAGCTGCCTAGTCAAAGTCATACAGTTTACCATCAGTAGTGATTTTACAAGAATGATATACCGCTTCTGCCAACAACTTTACGTTCCTGTGATTTGAGTTTTTCTTTACTCTCCCACCACTGCATACCACTTTTACAATGACATTTACCAACCGCGAATAAAAAAAAAGAAATTGAAAATACGGAGTTTCCTAAAAAAAACTACAGTTACAAAGAAATTTTATCTGTTCAAATTAACATTGCTTGCTTCATAATAGAAAAATATAAATTTCAATAGCATTACCATTTCTGTCATGCTTCTTATCTGAGGCGTTGCTCACTGCCCCCTGCATTGGCTCCAATTCTCTCTGAAGAAGGCAGAAAGGGAGAATGGTATTAGAACTGCATCTAACGATTGAGGGAATGTAAAACAATGGATATTGAGTGGATACTGAGCAATGTAAACAGCTAAACTTAGCCACGAAATTGAAGATTTTGAAAAAATTACTACAAACCTCAACTTGTCTATTCTCATCTGAGGCGTTGCTCACTGCCCCTTGCACTGGCTCCGATTCTCTCTGAAGAAGGCAGAAAGGGAGAATTGTATTAGAACTTCATTGAACGATTGAGGGAATATAAAATATGATAAATTTTTAAAGCTGCTTTCCTATAATTGCTTTTCTATTATAAACACTATATGAATATGAGTTTGAAATACGAAGAAAATGTAAGCTTAAGGATGTAGATAGAACTTGCAACCTTTCTTGGCGATCTTTCGTGATACTTTCTCCTTGCACAACCTTTGAGTATGAACGCTGAAAGTGTTTCAGTGGAACTGTTGAGATGCGAAGTTTACCTTTTTTAAGAAAAAATATGCGTTACCGATTTTTTATTATTCTTAAAATCCTTATGGCAACCGGGAGGATGTTATTAGCAAGTCAGTAGTTTTTGCTTGTCTTTTGTAAATTCGATATAATATAATATGACAAATTATTCAATCCATTGATCAATAAATCAACGAAAGTCCCTATTCTTGTGTAAAACATATTTAGCTTAAAAGCTGATTGGGGACAGAAGGAAAAAGTTATATAAAGGTAGATACTGATAGAGAGGTGATAAATCAGAATAAATTTCGCGCAAATAAACATCCTTAGATATAAAAAAGATCACTGATACCTTTAAAAGCAGAGTTGTGCCTTGCTTTTCTTGGCATCTTTCGTTCTATTGAGTTCTAGGAAGGAAATTCATAATTCTATAATTTCTTCGATATTCGGATATAAAACTCAGATATATATTACATATTGGTAGGTTCTGCCTAAGGACGTATTTTATTTTGGTTTAACTACTTACAAGAAGGTCGATTGGATCGGTTGAATCTTGCATAATTTGCCTTCGTTTATGCTGATGAACTTCCGCTAGAAATAGATCAATTTTGCTTTTAATCCAATCGAATATTGATGTCACTATGATAGATATCTATATATTTAAATATATACAGGAACTATGATATTTGGAATTAGCTTTGTTTTGTTCAAAATAATTGATTACTTTGTTAGTTGTTAAACAAAGTCGAAAAGGCTGCACTCACCTTTTGCACCTTGATGTTGCACTTTCTGGCCCCTCTTTGAAATTTTTGAATTTCACGAACATTTTGTACTTAATAAAAAATGCATAAAGAGTTGTATATTTTAAAATATGTTGTAAACTTAAACTGTAATGTGGTGCTATTTGTGGTTATATGAATAAAGACCGAGTTGAAGGTATTATTCTGCAAGCATTTACCTGGGAAGGCACAGTCAGGTAGAGACCAGGACTCTTGTTCGTCAATAAGAAATTGTCCATGACAATACCGCGACTTGTCACTTGACTCCAATTTTTTCTTTTTATCGTGGGTACTTCTATGTACCTTTTGGTTACTCTTTTAGAAAAAAGCATGCAAATAAATTAGAGATATACAGGAACAAAGCAATACGACGACGAGAATCCAATGTCACGAAATAAAATTTTCAAACTAAATTAAATTTGAAGAGTATACTAATATTTGGTCCCGACATACAGGGCTTCATCAGAGTAAATGAAACGAATGAGTGAATGGATTTGAAATGTGAGATGGTGGTGCCGGATGGGTGGATGTTGAATGGTGTGAATGCAGCGCAGTGGAGAAAAAATGGGATGATGGAAGTGGGGAAGAGAAAGGTGGTGGGTGATGTAAGGGGATGTGAGTGGTGCTATGGAGATTGATGCAATGAGATGATAATGATGACTATAAACATGAAAAAAAATAGTAATAATAACAATAATTGTGATGGAACTGAGAATAATGGAATGTTGATGGTAGTGATAGTGGTTTTGATGATTACAATGGGTAGGGAAAATATGGTGTGGGTTGTGAGGGCGGCATGATAGGTGATAAGTTGTTTTGTAAAGTTAACAGTCGGTAGTTCTGTTCATGCTGTTGGGGGTGAGGGTGTTCGCCATGCTAATGAGATATTGCTCCTTAGCTCGACGAACACTCTCTCGTTTGTCATTAAGTCTAAGTAGTGGTGTGATGGCAAGGTCGTGGATGGTGTGTGCTGGGCTGCAGAAATGTTCTGCAACACCAGACTTGTCTTCTTTTTTGTTGATATTGTCTCGTCTGTGTTCGTTTAAGTCTTCTGCTAGTTTGTCAGATGTATTGGCAGTTTTTGTTTCCGTTATGTAGACAGCGTTTGCATTGTAATGCGTATATGACGTTGGTGGAGTTGCAGTCCAGTCTTTGTTTCATGTCGTAGTTTTTGTCAGTGTTAGAAAAATTAAATGTTGTAGTCCCGTCTGTGATATGTTGGCATGTTAAACAGTTACGTCGCGATCGGCATTTGTACGAACCTATGGGATCACTGGATGGGGCATTTTTAATTTTAGCACGAACCAGTAAATCCCGGAGGTTTTTCGGTCTGCGGTAACTAAGTATGGGTGTGTCGGGAAAGGCTTCTTTACATGCGTTAGAGTTTTGTAGTATGTCAAGGTTTTGTTTGAGTATGGTGGATAGTTGTGGCTAAATAAATAAGGCTATCTGCCGGTATAAGGGGTGTTACAATTCTTTGTGGCTATATGTAAATGTTTATATCCTTGGAAAATTGCGATCTGATTGCTGTTGGTGGTGCTGGGTGACCTTGAAGGAAATTCACTGGAGTTGTCAATTTTGCGCCAAGTCATTATTAGCATCAATTAATCAGATATGAAACAGCGTTATAGTTGGTAAACATGAAAATAAATCCTTTACCATCAAAGGTTCTAAAAAGTTGTGGCTAAACATATGTTTTTACAAATATTTTTTTTATTTAAAGAATTCAACTGAAAATTTAATGTTTATAATAAGCTTAATAACTGCACTCTCAAAGTTTGTTGATCATTTTTCTTTTGTTTCACGATTAATGGATACATATTTTCAAGGAACTATAGGGGATATAAGGAAAAAATTCTCGCGCTGAGGTACAAAACAGATGGGACTCTTTTTTTCCATATCAATCTTTCCGTTAAAAAGGTGATGTTTCGTTAAAAAGAAGCCTTTGTTCGGAGTCAAATATCACTCTTCAATAGAAATGGCTAACCTTCGGAGTGATGGTGCCGGAGTTCTCTCCATAGCCACGCTGGGTATTGGGGCTCTGGAGCAGGTTGTGGTGGAGGTGATGGCGATGAATCCTGGACCACAGCAGCTTTAAGTGAATTTATTTCTTTCTTCAAAAGACACAGCAAAAGTGGGATGCCTTTGTCTTCACTTATGTGAAGTCCGCCTTTCCACGACCAAAGATGTGGATCCCTGACTTAAAAGTTCAGTGTCACGTCAAAGAAGCGAACCCTAAGTTTCTGGCACTCTTGGTCCATTACTTCTTTGTGTTTTGCCTCGCAAATCCAAAATTTGTCTAGACGCAGCAACATTGATAGTGCAACAACCTTTATAAAAAAAAATTAAAATGCTATTTAAACCTCAGGGGGGAGGGGGGACAATGTTATTTGCTGTGTGGAATTATGGGTACAGTTTTGATCACGTTTGAGGAATTTTTTGCCAATTTTTTTCAGACCTGTGTGGCATTATGAGTCCAAATTGTTTAACCAAACTGGCATGTAATGTAATTTGGTGTAATCTACTGTAGTGGAAATCTAACGGGTATGAAATATAAGAATATACAAATCCCAAAAAGTATAAAAATTAACAACAAAAGGAAGCGCTTTTTGAACTTTCTTTCTTAATATTTATGAAAAGGAAGAATCGAAGATCTGGTAACAAATATTCGAATGTCTCATAAATTGATAGAGATGTAATTGATAAAATTATTAGCTCCCTTTGAAAGCCAGAATTTTTTCTTAACTGCGAGAAGAAGCCCATGAAAGTCACCTCTAGCCCTATCCATAACCACATGCTTGGAGAGATCATTTGAAGCAATAAGAAGAATGACTTACAAAGGGGTCTTGCTTTGGGGAATTCTGGCGGCCAGAATTTCTTCTTTTACATGGCTGAAGCAACCACCTGGCGTTGAATTAACGTACCAGTTTGTAGGAACAGGAACGTCCACCTGAACAAGTGGGCGTAGCTGCGAGTCAGAGAACACTGTGACCTGTTAAAACAAGGTAAGCAAAAGTTAACTTGGCAAAGGAATTAGACTTTCTGTCCAAAACTATCAGTATTCCCTCTTTATAAAGACAGGTAAAAAGAAAATATATCAAATTGATCAGGCAGTAATTTCACAAGCCCATGAGAAAATTATATAACAAAATGTGGAAATTTCAGAGGTAACTAAGGTCTACCTTGAATTCACTGACCAAGTCTTCAGCTTTCTCTGTAAGCTGAAGACTTGGTCAGTTAATGGAGCGGTGTTGCTTCCTAGAAGCACCACTTTTCCAGAGTTTGGGCTTTGAATTTTTGCCAGTTCCTTTAAAGCACTGACAACGAATTCTTCATGTTCTTGCAGCAGCTCTGCTTTGTAGAACAAGCTCTAGCGTATTACATGCTGGCATGGTCACAAACAACTGCATATAACCTTGAAACTGACTTAGTGGTAATTTGAACATGACTAACTTGGTTTTCGAGTAAAATCTTTAAATATAACATGCAACAAACACCCTTTCAATACAGAAATGTCAATTAATCTAAAGAAAGCCAAGATGAAAAGAAAAGAGGATCATTGCATGGCGCAATACCAAAGAAATTAATGGTGTCGTAACAAATAACTACTAAATAGCTTGCAAATGAGTGTCACAAAAAGGTGAATTCATATCTAGGCGGTTGACCCTCCTTCTGAAAGTAGACTGTCAAATAATCCTGTTTTTAGAACCTATGTATGTGGTTTAACATCTTTACGAATAAAGAATAATCTCAAGTGCTGGAATTATTTAAATAATTAGTGACAGTTTTCATCGCTATGCAAGTTTGATTTAGATTTATAGTTCGTGAGAAAATTTCTGGAAACAAACCTGAAATCACACATTATTTGAATAAAAAGCAAGAGCATTAACCAACATTGACCAGTTCACGATTCCCTTTTCTTTTAAAAGACTGTTATGGTTCCAGTTGGTGTAACTATGACAAACTTCATTTTAAAACAGATTCAGACAAGTTTGAATGGATCATCTTCCAGGAAGGCAGATCTGAGTTGTCAGACATATGCAAGAGGTGTGCTAAATTGAGGGTGGCATTTATAAAAAAAGTGATCTCGCAACAAGATTTGAGTCTATTACTTTTTATACAGATACACAGAAGTCACACAGAAGACTAACTTGAACTCTTAGAACTCATTTTTTGTTGCACACAGTGGATGACACAAACAGTTGTTAACTAGAACATTCCCCAACTCAAACTTTATTAATGGAACTACTGTATGTTTACAGAAAAAAAAAGGTAAAATTGTAAAATATCATTTTGTTAAGTTCGTTTTACTTCAAAGCTTTGACGTTGCATAAATTTACGATTCCCTATTCATGTCATTTATCAGCAGAAAAATCTATTCAAAGAAGGTATCGAAATATTGCATGAACCTTTCATTTTAACTTAAAAGCGATCTCTTCTGTTACTACAACATCTAAAAAAATTGAACCAAAAACTTATTAAAACCATTTCAGACTTTACAAGATCCAGAAAACATCAAATTAATTTTGTGTCAAATTGCAAACTAGATTAATTGCTAAAGGAAAATGTCTTGCTTTGCTGTTAAAGTAAAGGGCATAGCGACCTGCAATGCCTGCCAAAAGTCAACACTGATATTCTTTGAACTCACCAACCACATCAGCTCACAAGGTTTTGCCTAATTTCGTTTAACAATATGATTTTTATGGCCATTTGAAATGTATAGACTGTGGCTGTAGACCGCTGGTAACCATTGGCTATAGGCATTTTCATACTACGCCACATGTCCATTAGGAAAGGAATGTTTTTTTCAATTCCTAGCATACTTTAAGAATGGAAAATTCGTATATAGTTTTGGAAGGATTATGGTAGATGCAATTTAGCCATTTAAACAGTTTCTCACCAGCATTTCGCAATCATTTATATCATGTATAGTTTATAGATATTCTCATGGATTTTGTGTTTTTTCATCAACAATTAAGCCATAAATAAGGGGACTTTTCAGTAAAAAAAGCACCAAAAACTAAACTACGACTACGACCAAAAGCCAGGTGTCTATTTTCGGTATGTGGATGACACATATACCATTTTCAAAACAGAGGCTGAGTGTGATATTTTTCTAAAACACCTAAATAGCCTACACCCAGCCCTCCAGTTTACGTTTGAAAAGGAAGAAAATGATTCCTTACAATTTTTAGATGTTTTGGTCGAAAAGTCTAACACTGGATTTCTTACCAGTGTATATCGCAAGCCTACTTTTACCCGTCAGTACATACGCTGGAATTCATTTTGCCCAAAACAACGCAAAGTCAACCTTGTCAAAACATTAGTACATAGGGCACTTATGATCTCCTCGAAATCTAAACTGCATGCTGAACTGGAAAAACTCAAAACGATCTTCTTGGACAACGGCTATCCTGAAGACGTCATTTTATCTTATACTAAGGAGAAGATCGCAAGTTTTTTGGCTGTTCAAAAGTTTGGTCCGCAAAAGTGCCCAGTTTATTTGAAACTACCATGGATTGGTAACACTTCCTTGCGATTCGAGAGTCAGATTAGGCAAGCCATAACCAATTGTTTCTTTGCTGTCAATCCTCGGATTGTTTACAGCACTAGGAGAGCCCTTCCATCCATTCAAAAGGATTGCGTCCCTACCAAACAAAAAAGTTCCGTCATTTATGAATTTACGTGCCAGTGTGATTCTGGCTACGTAGGGCGCACAACCCAAAGATTGGGGATAGGATAAAACAGCATGTTCCTTCCAACATACGAAACAAAACTGCCCCTCAAAGAGAACAGCCTCCTCGATCTTGTAGGTCTAGAAACACTGTTAAAACAAGTGATTCTGCCATTGGTCAACATCTTTTAGACAACCCAGATTGTGCAAAACTCTATAATGACGACATGTTTCGGATAATTGGCAGAGCCCGGTCGTCTTTCCATCTAGCAGTTTTGGAGTCAATCTACATAAAAACGAAAAAGCCGCCATTGTGTAGACAAAAGGAGTTCGTTTTCTCTCTTGGACTCCATTGGTAATTTTTCTTTAGGCTCGCAGCACTGATTGGTCAACTATACCGGTCTTGTGCTTGCGTTTTTCTGATTGGCTTATTTCGATCCACAACTGGGTATATATTTTTCCATCGTGTTTTTTCGGAACCTATTCTGACGTTTTATGCTCTGAGGAGTGTCAGACGAAGAAGCTTTAAGTATGTTGTAAAATGTTTGCTTTTTTCAAAGCCAATTTCAAATTCTGCACCGCAAAAAAATTGTTCAAAAAAAGCACTAAAACTTTGATGTTTTTGCTTTTGAAAATTTTTGTTTTCTTAAAGCCATGTTCGAATTCTGCACAAAATACTTGTATTCAATAAAAAAATTAAATGATATTGACGGAAAAATCAGTAGAATGTTTTTTGTAACATATAACAATACTTTGATATCTACTTTATCAGTCGTTCAGAGTTCCAACCGACTCCTCCCACACCTCAAATTGTATTTTCATTGGCAGCAGTGAGATTAGAACCAACGAAAACCTTAGGATAGAACAAAGTTTTGGTTTCAAAGATATCAAATAAAACGCAAATTGCTTGGTGTTCCAAGTACTTTTGGGAGACATTGTGGGTAACCTATAATAATTAGAAAAAGATAGATGGAGTATGTACAAGTACCTTGCCATTACTACAACTTTTCTCAACAGAATTGCCTTTCTTTTGTCATGCATAGTACTTTGTTCTTCTTCGTCCTTACTTTGCCCTTCCGTCTGTTCCGTTTTTCAGTAACTTGCCTAAAAACCAGGCTCCCAGTCTGAGTCTTTTGAGTTGGTTGTTCAAGAGCCTGTAATGGTGGAGACAAAGAAGCTTTGCAGCAGCATTCACTTCCAGCTTGTAAGGGTCGAGGAAGCAGTTTGGCAAGTCAAAAATCTTTGATTTTAATGTTATTTAGTGTAAATCAAAAAATTGGTTTTTCCATTCAATTCTGCTGCAATTTTTTCATCACAGAGGACATTGTCCATTAACTTGAATGAAGTATCTCAAATGATTTTTGAAAAGATTATCGTTGTAAAGATCTATGAGCAGTTCACATCCCATGTAGAACCTTGTTTTTGGCCCTTGACATTTCCCTGGAAAACAAAGTTTGTGCACACACATTTGTTGACACATTTCTAGGCGTTAATTGAAATGAAGTGCAAGCTGATGGCATGAGCCAAGACAGTTTAGATTAGTTTGTCTGCTAAGGTATTTAAAATGAACCTATTTTATCATTAAAAAATTGTTACATACTTCATTTAGTTGTATATGATAGTCATATACAAATGATGTTGAAGGCTTTTTAAGCCTTAAATGAACTTTTTAAGACTTGAATGACTTAAATGAACTTTTTAAGATTTTCTAAAATTTTCTAAATTTTTTCTCCAGTAGGCCAATGTTATAATGACATCACCGTTGAACCACGTGACTTAAAAATAAAAGAATAGCATTAAAATGTCGAGAATAGATAAGAGTATCATCCTACCAAGGTTCATTGTCTTAGCTGAAAGGACAAAGAACTAACGGCAGTTTCTAAAATCATGCTTGCTGAATTGAAAAAAGTAAAGAATTAGTTCCTTTCTAAGGTGGTCATTTGTATGCACCCATTAGTTTTTCCAACCATATTGGTAACGCTTCCCCCAATATAGGGCGCCCCAGTATAGGGCGCCCATTATAGGGATTGTCCCTCAAAATTAAGTTCTAAAGTGCTGCCAAAGCCTTTTCAGTGCATTATCGTTGCGATGATAGATAGAAGTTATTTCAAGACACAGCGGCTTCTTGGCCAGACCTTCAGCAATACATTCAGTAAGCTACCATGTTGTAACAGCCGTACATGAAAGACATTTGTGTAGCTCACCGCTAGCAATAACAAAATATAGTCATTTCTCCAAATTATTTACATCAAAACAAAATGATTCAACAAAATTCAAACCAGTGTCATGAAAAAGAACATGTGTAACTAAAATGCTGCGTTGTTTATGATGAGCCTAGATTGATGACTTTTTTATAAAACCTTTTTTTGTAATTCAAGTATCTAGGCTGAGATGGCCCTTAACTGCTTGCAGTACTACAGCGAATTGCAATTTTACAATTACAATTTTTCAACTATGTATCAATAACAAAACAACTATGGAAAATACAAAGCTAAAGTTTCAGCAAAAGCTATTAAGCTGAAAATCTAAGCAGCCATCTAAAAACAAATCCTCATATGACATTACCTTATTTGCTTTTTCAAAAATTCTCTTTCCCAAGAAATACACCTAGGTTGTGAGAGAAACGTGCGGGGCCTTCACCCCCAGGTCAGACATGTAGGATTTTCAGAGCAGCACGGACCTGTGTAGATTTTTGCATAAATTTTGCCTTTTCTATGACCGATTATACCTTTAAATTCATACAAAATATAAGTTTAGCTGTTTAAGTTTCGTTTTTTTGTTTGTACCTAGTTTGGTGCAGCTATCGAGCCGAGTAACCTGGAAGCCTTTAGCAAGAATATAGGGCTCGCTCGTTCAGATGACAACTACGGGGGTCAAGTTCTTTCTAGGACTCTGTTTTGAAAAAATCTTGACTGAAACTGCTTCACCGGCCAATAGACCCTTTTCACAATCCCTTTTTTGGCCGTTTGACAATGAGGGTGTTTAATGAAATGAAGACAGTTGTTGTTTGGCATAAATCTTGTACGCTGCTTCCACATAAAATTTCTACAATTCTTTTGCCTTTTAACCAAGACAAGTTTTTGGAAATGAAGAATGAAGACGTTGAAATGGTAGAAGGTGTTTCAAAGACGAAGAAAAGATTTGGTAGGCAATGCAAGGCTTATGGGGGTTATAACACCTTTTAAAAAACTGATGGATGGCCATCTGGCCTACATTTCTTCAGATTCTCACAAAAGAACCCTGACAAGCTTCGTTGGTGTAACCTCATAAAACGTGCAGATGGATGTGATGGTTTTAATGTTACACTGTCTGCATTCCTTTGTGAAGAGCATTTTACTGATGCGGGCATCATCAAAATCAGTGGCGTCTGAAGAGTGGAGCTGTCCCTTCTTTGAATCTGTTCAGTAACGTTGTTTTGTTGCCAAGAGTATCCCGCAAAGCGCCAGCTGAACATACGTTTTCTTTCTCTGCATCAGCGACTGCAATCTGCGATGATGATGTTTCTCCCTTTGGTTCTAATGTAATCGAATATTTAATATTTGTAACCAGCATGACCATCATTCAACAAAGACCAAGGAACTCTCTTTGCAAGTTGACGAACTATGCAAACAAATTGGTGACTTGGAACAACAAATTTCTCAGCTGAAAAACTCTCTCTTCTCAATTGATAAACTGGAAAAAATTTTCTTCTCTTCATGCCTTGTTTAAGTATTTCCAGCCAAGGCTTGATAGGTATTCATTAATGGTGTGGGCCTACATCTTCTAAGGTTTCAGATCTTTTCTATCAAAAGTCCTCTCAATCTCAGAAACCTGGTCCAAAACGCAGCCTTTCACAATTAGAAGAATTTATTTTTCTTTTAATGAGACTTAAAGTTGGTTTACTTATGAATGATTTACCAGACAGATTTGGAATCTCTACTGGACATGCTTCAAATATTTTTACAAGTTGGATTAACTTTTTATTTCATGAACTTCCTCTTTTGTTTCCGATTCCATCTCAAGAAAAAATACGGAAAGATATGCCACAGCAATTCAAAGAATATTCTACTACGAGAAACATTATTGACTGTACCGAAATTTTTACTTAAGTCTCAGTCTCAAACTTGGTCCCAGTACAAACATCATAACACCTGGAAAGCCCTTGTTGGAATCTCACCAACAGGCTGTATTACTTTCATTTCAAAGCTTTGGTCTGGCAGAGTGTCAGATCTAAGAAATTACTCAGAAGTGTGGTGTTTTGCAACTTTTAGAGGATGGAGACAATATCATGGCCGATAGAGGATTTGACACCTAATATTCTTCCTCCTGGTGTATCTCTTAATATCCCTCCTTTCAAAGGCACTAGAAGCCAGCTAACAGCAGAAGAAACAGAAGAAACAGTCCGAATTGCAACAGTACGCATTCATGTTGAAAGAGCTATTGGTTGTGTAAAGAATTTTCATATCCTGGATGGAGTCATATCTTTAAGTTTACAACCTATTTTAAACCAAATTTTTTCAGTATGTTGCCATCTAAATAATTTTCAGCCATTTCTATTTCATAATTCTAACAATAAATCTTAATAAAGATTAATAAATTTTACTATTGCTCTGATTATTAGATTTAATACTTTGTAAGCTTTAATATTGTTGATAAAAATCTTGATCTTTGCTTTCACTTTGCATTTGATAATTTCTAGTATTTAATGCAATTTTTTTTATATAAGTCACTTTTACAGTAGTGTATATGTGAATGTATTTTTGTTTGCATACAATATTTTTACACATATTGGAACAACATATTTTAGATATGACCAATTTCATAAGTATTTCATAAGTAGCTTGGTCTTCTGGTCCCCCAGGAAAATTCCTGTATTAGCCATTAGAAACGGGGGTTTCACAGTTACCAGCTGCTCATCGTTGCCGGATTTAGCACACCTTGCTAAATGCAAGTTAGTAAGATATGACAATTCAATGAAATTTAATGTTCATCTGTCTGTAATATAGTGCCTGATGCCATATAGACATTTTCTGATTGGCATATTTCGATCCACAACTGGGTATATATTTTCCATTGTGTTCTTTCGGCCCCTTATTCTAACATTTCATGCTCTGAGGAGTGTCAGACGAAAAAGCTTTAAGTAGTAGTATGTTGAGAAATTGTTTCCTTTTTCAAAGCCATTTTCAAGTTCTGTACCCCTTAAAATTGTTCAAAGGTAGATTTAAAGACATTGAGAAACTGTGCTTATCAAGCAGTGCCAGGTTCTTCCTCTTGATATGACCACACCTTGTGACTCCTATGCTTGGTAATACAGAGAGCTTGTGACTGTCTTCGCTTCAAGTGATAGTTTTGTGTATCAGTGACCCAAACCACTTACCCTTGTATCTAAAGGTCTAACCTCAACCTTAGAGCCATATTCAAGGTGTATAGAACAGGACAGTTATAAGTTGCAACTCAGAATTTTACGTATGTCCCTTCCTCAGGAAATGTTCGATGTTATACTCTCTTTGTTACTTTGTTACCATATGAACAAACTTTGTTACCATATATCTGTAATGTTGAAAGTGTTTGGAGCACCATGTGCTCTTGATGCAAAATAACTTTGTAAAAGGACTTTGTAAGCCTAGAATATTTAATTTCAAACTTTAAAATAAATTTTTATTTCTTTGCCTTTTTCTTCTCATAACTTTCCTAGCCATCTTGCAAGTAAAGCTTTAATCCACGCTGAACTCTCCTTGTAAAGAACTCTGGGAGAACAGCTTTACAGTAAAAGAACTTCAGCCTGGGTAAAATAACATTTAAAACATCATAGAAGATACTTTCAATAAATAGTGGTTTGTTGTCACCAAACCATACCACAAAATCAACTCTTCTCAGGTTAGCACAAAACATCTCTCCTTGAACTTGAAAATAATATTCATGCCTCCTCTTTAATTTCACTCCTTCTGAAGTTTGTTTAAAAAAGAAATTTTTGTCCTTGATAGCATCAACCAAAGAAGAATTATATTTAGAAAATTTGCATTTTATTTCTAAGCCCCATTTTTCACTTTTACAAGATACAATGCCATCCAGGGAAGCAGCAAGATAAGGTTATGTATGTTAGACTTTTAAACCAACTTCAGCTACATTAATTGGAAAACCTTGATCAATCGTGGTCTTTTTAAAAAGATCTCTCACATGGCTTTCAAATCTGTTTCCATGATTAGTACTTGCAGAAGTAAATGTGACATAAAACATAGATTTCAATTCAGAAGATGGCTCCACAGTGTCCACAGCAGCAGAATAAAAATTGGATGCAGTAATTCTGTACTTTCTTTGCTGTTTTCATTCTTTAGTAGAACTTTGACTACCAGTAAATTTCTCAATAGCATCAACTTCATCTTTGGTTAAATTAAAATTATCCCAAAAAATATCCATCTTTTCTTTAAAAGGATTACATGATATATCATATATATCACTAAAAGGGGAAGAGTCAGAAAGTTCAAGTAATTCAACATCTGCAGATTCATATGGTGCATCCAAAGAGCTCACAATTTCAAGAGATAATGGTTCATTTGGTTAAGATAGTTCATTTTGTCCATATTGTTCATTCGTAGCTTTGTTATGGAAACAAAAAAACAACTGTTAGGAATCAAAGAAGAGAGTTTTGTTTTCAAAATTTGAAGCTTAGTTTAGTCTAGTTGCCTATCAGAAGATGATCTTGGGTCATAGATATTATATCTAGGTGCATCAGATTTAGCATTATCTTTCCCAAACTTGATCTTTTGAATCACAACCTTGTCCATAGGCTCTGGGTTAAGATTTTTTGTTGAAGCACTTGAGAATTCCAGGCAGACAATTTCGAAGTGCAAGAGACAGGATCTGGAGACTGTTGTAGGCCTTGCGGTTAAAATCTTCCAGAGCAAATAAAACCCCACCAATGTGATAACAATTATCAAAACACCCCAACCCAATGCCAGCAGGACATGTGCAAGCTTCAGAACAAACATCACCAGAAAATTTTTAAACTTGAACAATGGTCTTATACAGAGTTCTTTTTATTGAAGCCTTTACACGCACATCAAAAAAAGTGAACTTCTCATCCTTGGAATTTCAATTTTTTTTACAGAGCCTTCATAAAAAAATTGGAAGGCTTTACGCTTCTTATAGGATGTGCTCTTTAACAAAATGTGTTTGAATTTCAGTGTACGAATAACAAGTTAATCATACAGCTGATTAAATGTAAATGGTATCATATTTTCTATTTTCTTTTTATGATTGCGTCTCATAGTAAATTTCTGATGAGAGAGTAATGTTGGAACAACAACTATCTTGTTTCCCTGCTTCGTCCTCGTTGTCAAATAGATTGTGAAAAGGGTCTATTGAAATTGGCGCACTTGCGTTTAAATTTCCTTTTTTATTGTTTTTTGGGGTTCCTAGTGTTGAATGTTACCTTGTTTAGAAAGTTTCGCTATGATCTCAAGGTTACAAAGCAATCTTTGTGATTATCTGAAACAGCCGTCTGAAAATCAAATCCACATGTGTTATTACGTTATTTGCTTGTTCAAAAATCCTCTTAATTCTCAAAAATACTTTAATTTTTACCGAGCGTCAATATTCTTAAAAAAATTCAATGTTGATAATCAGGTTATTCTTCAGTTACTCATGCCTGATAGAAGGTGTAAGTCAGGCTTTAATTGGGGGGGGGGGGGCAGGCCTACGATTTTGCGACAAAATAACATCTTGTGTCATGTCTAATTTTAAGGAAACTGCACATTTTGATGAAAATCGTCATTGGGAAATATGTTTGAAAATAGCTTTTGTTTCGAAGAATCCAATGGAAAGTTTGGTCAATCTTTATAGAATTGACATTAAATATACAATTCACAGTTTTGATTTTGGTCATATATTTTTGGTTTGATTATTTAGTACTGGCTAATAATTTATCAGCTATTCTATGTCCATATTTTGCAAAAGGGCACAGAGAGGTTAAAGTGAGCAGAAAATTTGCCAATTACATCCGCTAGTTTAGCGTAAAATTCCTATTCAGTACGATTTCTTGAAGTAATTTCAACACGTTAAGCGGTTGACAATTATCAAAGAAAGCACGTATTGTCCGAAAACGTCGCTGAATTTTCTGACGACATCACATAATTTCCGCCACTGGTGTAAGTTCTCTTTAAGATGAAAGAAAACAATTCAAATCTTTTTCTTTGATTTGTTGCTTCATCATAAACTCAAAACAGAACAGAACAGAAAAATTAATTTGGTATTAAAATACAAAATCTAGAGTCATGGAATACAAAATACACACAGATCGACATTATTTTGACATTTTTCTTAAATTTAAAGGATGTCACAGTAAAAAAAAATTTTTGGCTGTATTGAAGTTACAATATACAAATTTCGAATTGTAATCTAATAACATTTTAGGAGGCAAGACTACTTTATGCTACCAAAATTTGCTAATCATGCATTCTTGGAAGTAAATGTAGTCGTTGTAGAAAAGTTATATACATACGCTCGCCCGTTTAGCGTTGAGCTGTATGTCTTGGAAAGGACAAATAAACATCAGTATTTTTGTAGACTGCTGTACCCTTCCTACAATGGGCCTGATTTATATACATAGATTTATATCCTAAAGAGTGAAACATGAAACATTTATATAAATATATATTATTCTACGTAGGTTGGTATTTACACATTTAATATATTAGTAACAATGCTCTTATTTATGGAAATGCATCACCTTCTTCTCACAAGAAGTCCTTTAAAATCTTGGCTGTTACAATTATCAACATATCCCAGTCGGATTTATTTACTTTCAACCCTTTACTGTAGTTCTGATTTATGAACAGGGAAATCATTTCAGCAGCCTCCTCGTAGCCTTCCCCCTGTGATGCTTCAACTTCCATTAGAGTAATATACTCTTTCTCTAACTAAATTCGTATTTTCTGCATAAACGGACGGTAATTTTGTATTCCTAAACATCGCTAGCTTTTCTGCAATTGACCCATTATTTAGTGAAGCCAGTAAGAATTTATTCAAGCTTTTCAAATTGATGTCTACTGCAACTTTCTTTTCGCATGAGCTTTCAACTGGATTAAAAAAATGGGTTTTCTTTTCCCTTGTAAGGTTGCATACTCTTTTTTCCTTTTAGAACTCTTAATCATAGCCATTTCCATCCTCTCTTTAGTCAGCAGGGCATGTTGTGATTCTGTTTCGCTTCCAACTGCAGTGCAATTTTCGCAAAACCAGTTTTGTGCCTCAGCATTACTGCTTGGACACATTCTACATGAAACCATTCATTACAACTATCGCAAGCAATCATTTGGGAGCCGTCATCAGGCATTTTACAGTTACAGAAAAAGGGGAACTTTGATTGTGTAGAGTGGCCCACGGTGCGACTTCGGTGTGCCGTCAAGACAAATCGTGAAGGTATCCAAACTAGAATTTTTAAGTGCCACAACATGCTGCTTTCTTAGAACTTTATAATTAAAATAGATTTTTTGGGGTCAGCACCCTTAACAAGAGCGAATACGAATAGCTGCCACTCCACTGTCAGCATTTTTGCCTACAGTTTAAGTGTCAGCTACATCAATCACAAGTTTACTGATTGGTAGACTTCTTAGCTTAGCGGCATATACTTCAATAATGGGACCATACCTTATTTCTTGCGTTGCACTCCTATAATGCAGTCTTCTAGCACAGTCATATAAATTGAGGTGGCCATTGGGTGAAAAAATATTTGATAAGGTTCCCCAATGGACCAAGGTTTCTGTCAGCTCAGTGAGTGGCATTGAATAAATGGGCCTCCATACCCCCTAAAGTTTCAATTACCTTCGATTTTTTGAAATCCTGTTGACCTGGGATCGTGGGTTGATTGCAAAATGCTCAAAGCCGCATTCATAACTTCAACGCTAATAGGTAAACATTGCTTTATCTGCTCCTTGTGCATGCAGTCAAGTCCTAGTGATGGGAGCCGAGGCTCGATAATTTTATTCAATTTGGTGAAGAGTAGGTCCCCATCCGTTTCTACAAGATTTGTTAATGGTTCATCTGTGGATAAAAAATGTGATTTGCCATCTTCCCTGCATTGTAAAAATACCTCTGACAAACCATCATATTTTGTGGGATGGGGAGGGAGGGGGGGTGGATTTGCCATCATACAGCTTAGTAACACATACACCAGGTGATAAATTTTTAACTGACTTAATTCTGAATCGTCTTCAAATTGTTCCAATTTGTGGTCAAGTTGACTCATTATGGATAGGCTTGGTGAATGCATTCCAGTTGCAGAAGTCAGGCTGCTCATACGGTTTCCAAAAGGGGGACAGTCAGTCATTACTGATAAAGTTTCCTTTTTACATCTATAATTGACTTGCTTGGACGGGTCACTAGACACAGTCATTCTATCGAAAGTCTCGAACAGCACCTTAAGCCTTGTCGCATTCTCTATGTTTAGAACTCATTTGAAATTCGAAATCAATTAGCGAACGAAACATGAAAATATGGGTTAGAGGATGCATTTGGTTTAGAAAATGCATATTCAAATTGAAAAATGCTATGAAGCTGTTCTGCTGCTTCACTGTTGACTTTTCCAAAAAGCTCTTTTGGACTCTTCTTAGTGATTCTACCTCCCTATTTGTATTGTCCCTACTGTTGAAGAGTGCTAAGTGAGAATCATTTCCTGTTACTGGGTG